AGATTTGTGGCATGTGGTTGGTGAGGGCATTAGGTTGATAAGGTACACTGCGGTGAGGAGAGTGTCTAACTAGATATTGTAGGGCAGCTGACTTGATGAGAGATGCCATGGTTTTGGAGGTAAGTTTGGAGAGTTTTATTAAGGAATTTTGTGTCACTATCATTGTGGAGATTCTTAATTTTAGTGGAGATTTGTGTTGTAATTGAGATATGAATTTTCATGAATATTTGGGGAACATCATATTTATGCATGAGAGGAAATACCCAAGTAAAGTGCAAGAAATCATTGATGAATAACACAGTATTTAAAACCATGACTAGAGGGAATTGAGGCTGGACCCTATACATCGCTCTGTGTTAATTCAAGAAGTTTGTAATGGTGATTACTAGATGTGGAGAAAGGAAGTTTATGACCTTTAGAGGTTTTACATGAGAAGCAAAAAGAAAATAAAACATGTATAGCTAGTGATTTGTTTTGTTTAGAGATCATTACCATGATCTGTTGGTGTGGATGGCCTAAAGGATGATGCCAATGGAGCAAGGTAGAAGTGATGAGAGCTGGATGACTTCGAGGGTGAGATGATGTAGTGGAGATTGAGTACGTAGATGCTGTCAATGCAGGGTCCCGAGAGAAGAGTGGAGTTTGTTGTCGGGTCCTTGATGTGAAAACCATAAGCTTTAAATGAGATGGAGACATTGTTATGTTTTGTGAGGTTAGAAACGGAGAGAAGACTGTGAGAGATTTGCGGAAGATGAAGAATATTGGGTAGGAGTAGCTTATGGTGGGAGTCGGAGAAGACCTTGGCCTAAGTGGGCGATGGGCAGAGTGCTTCCATCTCCAATGGTGACATTGTCCACGCCATTGTATTCAACTGGATGGTAGAGATTGTCCAGATTGTGGGTAAGATGCGATGAGGTGCCGGACCAGTTCGAGCTAGATTTCGATTGAGCTGCTACTAGGGCAGTGGAGGAATGAGGTGGAGTTGGATACTGAGTGTTGAGATGGTGCAACAAACGTTTGCGGTGTGACCCTTCTTGCCACATATTTAACAAATGGGTCACGATGTGGCCGATAGATTGGATGGAGTAGGTGGTCGGTAGCTGTTTTGTGGGGTGTAGATGCCATAGTTGGAATTCTGGGAGTATCGTCCCTTGCTGCGGCCACATCCATGAGAAGAGTACAGAGCTGTCTGGATGTTTGGATTGGCAACTTCTCGGGTTGATTCTGCCGCAAGGTTGATTTCTTCACTAACTAAGAGGGAGTAGAGATCTTCCAGACTGATGGGTTGGAGCATCGTGCGTATGGATGTCTTGAATGCTTGGTATTGTGGTGGTAAGTCCATTTAGGGTGTAGAGAATGATATCTTCAGTGTCGACGGTGGAGCCATCAGATGCTATGTTGTCGATGAGAGTTTTGATTGTAGTGAGATATTGCAGTATGGTGTACTGACCCATGTAAATGTAATGAAGCTTGTTCTTGAGTTGGATCACTCTCGAGTGGTTTGTCGCCTGAAGTCGGCATTCTAGGGTAATCTAGATTTCCGAACAGGTTCAAGGTTTACTACAATTTTTAGGGTCCCAAGAGAAAGTGTCGAGCATATGGCGACATCAAGATTTTGGTGGATCATTGTCCATTGGCTGAATGCAGGGTTCGGCTGTGGGATGCCGTCGGGCTGGATGTTGAGCTGAGATGGTGGTGCTGCATTCTTGTATAAGAATGAGAGGTCGTTGTTTGCTTGGAAGAGTTTCGTGATATGGGATTTTCAGGTTGGATAGTTGTCATTTGACAGCTAAATAGGCTTTATGTTTCGGGTGTTGGAGATGAGGATCTTTAGAGTGGAGGGAATAAGGGTATGAGACAAGGGAGATGACGCCATTTTGAGGACCTTTGGGTAGTGAGTTGGAAGGTTCTGATACCATGCAAACAATAGATAGTTTACTGTGCAGAAACTAATGCTTTACAGGTTTTTAGTGATGATTGCTCTTGGTTGTTGCAATCTTTCGGTTCTCATTTTTAGACGAGTTTGCATATGGTGAGAAGGACAGGATTGAGGTGGTGGGGAGAGTTCGATCGGGAAAGCAGGTACTTGAGTTGAAGATGAACCTATGGTTTCATCATGCGTTCCAGAGGTAGTATTGGGATGAGACATGTTGTTTGGATGATGAAAGGGAGTAGTTGGTGTTGTCCTGGTAGCTGAAGTCGGGACAAGTAGAAGTGGTGAAGTGGATTTTGAATTTGTGGTCTGAATTGAAGTAGACGTGGGATTGTGTTCTTGATAAAGAAATTTGCGTTCATAAAAAATGACATGACGGGAAATGTAAGTCTTGTTGGTAGAGAGGTCGTAACACTTGTAGCCTTTGCGAACGGAGGAGTATCCTATGAAAATGCATTCCCTTGACCACGGAGATAGTTTGTAGTCAGCATACGGTTGTAGCCAAAGGAAGCATAAACAGCCGAAAGTGCGGAGGTGGTTATATTTTGGGAATTGGCGATGTAGACATTGGTAAGGTGTTTGGAGTTGAATGGATGTGGAGGGAAGTCGGTTGATTAAGTAGTTTGTGGTAGAGAGAGCTTCCGCCCAAAACTTGCTAAGCAGGGTGGAGGCATGAAGAAGGGTGCGGGTGATGTTGAGCAGATGTCTGTGTTTTCATTCTGATAAGCCGTTCTGTTCGGGGGTGTGCGGGCAGCTAAGTTGACGACGAATTCCATGTTCTTTCAAGAAAGAATTGAATTTTGTGCTTGTGTATTCACCGCCACCATCGAAACGAAAAATTTTAGGTGTGGTATGGAATTGAGTCTTTATAATTTGACAAAGTGATTTAAATTTTGAAAAAGTTTCTTGCTTGGTATGCATTAGATAAAGCCAGGTAAATCTAGTATAATCATCTACAAAAACCACATAGTATCAAAAACTTGCCAGAGAAGGGATAGAAGCGAGTCCCCACACATCGGAGTGAATAAGATCGAATGGTAAAGAAGAAACATATTCGTTTTTATTAAATGGCATTTTCTGGCTGTTTGCCAGGTTACAGGATTTGCACAAGAATGAATGAGAATTGTGTTGGACATCTGATATGTGTTTAGCTAAAGTAGAAAATAGACGATGGTGCGGATGACCTAATCTGGCATGCCAAAGTTGAGCCGTGGGGAGAGTTGCATGATGAGCCATGTGAGGAGTGTCCGTGGAAGTCCGAATGTGGTATAGGTCGTTACGGAGACTTCCACGAAGAAGACGATGATGGTCCTGAATGTACTTAATTTCGAATCCATTAGCATCAAAACTTATAGAAATTGGATTGTCAGTAGTTAATTTTGAGACTGATAGGAGATTATGAGCTATGGTTGGAACATGGAGTAATTTGTTTAAGTGAAGCTTACGAGGGGTGTCGGGTAGAGAAAGAAGGCCCTGACCAGTGTGTTGAATAGGTATTGTTGATCCATTTGCGATTGAGATGCTGTCGGAGCCGTGGTATGGGTTGAGATACTGAATGTTGTTCATGTCCGGAGTTAGGTAGGTTGAGGCGCCGGTGTCGAGGATCCATTCTTGAGAGCCGACAGGGTTGGGCTGAGCAAGAAGAGCTGACTGCGATCTTGGATTTGTGGGTGCATATTTGAGGTTGCACCTATGCCATCAGTTGATGGCAATGTGACCGACCTTGCCGCAAATTTGGCATGTGGGTCGAGTAGAATTTGGAAAAGATTGTGTTCCCTGAGTTGCCGCTTGCGGAGGCGTGCCAGTAGAGGAAATCTTGTGCTTGAAAATTTTTTCTGAGACCGACCACGATTGGAATTGTAGGTGGATGTGTAGAGAGCAGTTGCGCAGTAGCTGGTCGTGGATTCTTTGGCAATTTCTTGGTTGAGATTGAGTTCCTCGCTGTAGAGGAGAGAGTAGAGCGTGTCTAGATCAATTGGAAGGAGGGATGTGCGAATGGCCATTTTGAATGGGTTGTAGGAGGGCGGTAGGCCATTTAAGATGTGAAGGATGATGTCTTCTGCGTCAACCTTGGAGCCGGAAGCGGCAATGTTGTCGACGCTAGATTTAATTTGGGTAAGGTATTTTTGCATGGTGAGATTTTTCATTTGAACGTGGTACAGTTCATTCTTGAGTTGGATAACTCGAGAACGACATGTGGGCTGTAGCCGACGTTCATGAATGAGCCATACCTCATGGGCAGCGGTGGAGGTGATCACATAGGGAAATATGGACGGTGAGATGGTGGAGAACAAGGCTGAGAGCATATTGTTGTCCACGAGTTGCCATTTTTGGTATTCTTGCGACAGTTCGTCGGAGGGAGGAGGAGTTGAGCCGGTGAGGTGTCCAGCATACCCATTGGGAGAAAATTGTTGAAGAGTTCGAATGCGCCATATGGCGTAATTGTCAGTGGTGAGGGCATGGGGTATGAGGTTCTTGATGTTGGAGATGAGGAATTTGAGGGGCGCCGGTATGACGAGGTCGGTGGAGGGGTTGCCGGAGAGGACCGAGAGGAGGGAGGGTGGTTGTTTGCTGATTCTTGATCCCCCATACGTGCTCTGATACCATGAAATAACATAACAGAGAGAGAAAAAAAGAACGAGACGGAGGAAGGAAAAGCAGAGTAAATTGTATTAGGAGGAAAATAATAAAATTGAGACACATAAGTCTGGATGGTACATATAAATATATATAAAGTAAGAGGGCAAAGCCGTAAATACAAGGTGCATAGGCTGTTCGCTTACAGAATCTTCCACTGCGAATTGCAGTGGAATTTTTTCTTTCATTCTCTCCTTTTTGCTTTGAATGCTTACCTTGACATTTTTTTCCTATCATAAATTATACTTTGTTTGGGAATATCACACCTCTATTTTGCCCGTGTCTGTTGGAAGGACTTCAAATTTTGTCACCGAATCTTCTCTTTGAAGTTAGTGCAGTCTGATTATTTCATACAATGATAGCCCATGTGAGAATTTTGTCATTAAAGTTGATTATTTTGCATATTTCAACTTGCTTTGTTATTTTGCAGCTTGGTTCGGTTTACAAACTCGCATTTGGGCCGAAATCTTTTGTTGTGATATCTGATCCTAGTGTTGCAAGACATATTCTTAGAGAAAATACATTTTCCTATGACAAGGCAAGTTATTTTACATGCAAGATAAATTGGCATCTTGTTTACTTAATTCATTTATGATATTGTAGCTTTTCTTTTTAATTTTCAGCATTTGTACTAAATATAGCTTACTGGATATGACTGCTAAATGAATTTATGTTTTAATTTATTCAAGCAAAACATATATTTTTACAAAACATTATATTTTATTTATTTGCATTGAATAATTATGATATTATTTAATTAATTAAATAATGATTATAATTAATATATAATTAACAGACTTTTCTGAACCAAAAGAAAAAACTAATTGAATAACTATATATACTTTTTTTGTTTTATTTATTATACCGTCTATGTGTATTGACTCTCCTCACTTCATGCATTTTAGTTGCTTGTGCCTGTTGAATTTATGTTCTTGCCTCCCGTAAAAGTAAAATTTTATGTTTTTTTCTTGTGAGGTGAATTTTAGCAACATGGGCTTTTCCAGGTGTTTTTGACATATCACTTCATGGACGAGGTCTTTTTTGTGAGATGGCAATGATTGAATGCCTTTTAATGCAAACAAGATGTGTTGAGCTGGTCTTGTGTGACTCTAAGATTGTTGTTGCATTCGACCAAATCGGACTGTGAAACATTTATAAAGGTCAAAATGTGATTCATGTACACACTTGGATCTAGAAAATATTCAATTAGCTACAAATAACTTCATTCATTTAATCAATAAACAATAATCCATATGTTCATTAGCGGTATCTATTTATCAAAATATGGTTAAAATGATAAGACTAAACATTTAATTGCAATCTAATCATATCCGATCCCAAACAATTTTGAAGTTAAACCTATTCTAATCCAAAAGAAGATAAAATCTAATAAAATAATTCAAATTTTAGAAAAAATAAAATAAAATGGTTCATAAATATAAATGGACCTAAATACTGTTGAAAATGGTTCGATTTTGATTTATTTTAGTCTAATTTGACTTCTAGCAGTTGGCCTATGGCCGCTTGGGCTTTTGTTGATTGTCTTGGCATGTTTGAAGGCCTTTATTGCAGTAGCTAATCGTAGGAGTGAAAGCTCCATGTGAGTCAAATGTGACTGGAGTCACGTAATCGTATGATAATGCCTCATTTGTTGTATTAACATTTTTGTCGGTAGGCTATTGCTAACATTCTTATTTTCTATTAAGGGGGTACTTGCTGATATCCTTGAACCAATAATGGGAAAGGGACTTATTCCTGCTGGTCTTGATACTTGGAAGCAGCGAAGGAAAGGTCAGAAAATTGCAAAAGAAGATTTACCAAAATTTTGCTTAATATGCGTATAACGTCCAGTATTTGATTCCGCCCATATAATCTATCAAATACTTGGAGTCTTTCACCTTTGAAATAGATATGCATTTTAAGTGACCTCTGTTCCCTAGTTTCTTATATGTTGTCTTTTCATAAACTTATGCTTAGAAGTTCATGTATACATTCTGTATCCTTCCTATTGATAGGAGCCCCATTACATATTTGGAATGGTTTAGATAAGAAAAAAGAATCCATATGCTTTGATTGAACTCTAGATGACTAAGTTTCAAGTTTGTTTCAGGAAATTCTAGAGCTCCTTATTTAGTCACTTATTTGTAGCTAAACTAAGCAACTAACAATTTCCACTTCTTATGTTACTATCTATGATGCACAAACATAAACACGACATGTAACATATACGTGATACGTCAATTATTGTAAAATAGGACGTAGCTACGGGCTATACACAATATTATAATTTTTATATCTTAAAATACTATATAGTAATTTAATAGGTAGAATATTAAGGATAATTGGGAAATAATAAGTCATTTAGTTATAATTTGTGCTTAAAATGATTTATATTAGGATGTCAAGAGTCAGACATCGATGTTGTGTATCAGGTATCGAGAATGGAGATTACAATGCTGTCAATAGTTGAGCATCAATATTGTGCAATGGACATCGAAAGTCGATGTCGAGACGGTGTCAGTCGTCGATATTTAGACAATAAAGATGAGATGTCGTGTAAAAACTGGTTTGGTTGGGCCGGTTCAACCGAACCGACCAACCTTCTAAATAAGACGCGACCCAACAGTGGGTCGGTACGGGGGCTATTCATGCGAAACAGAGATGGTGGGCGGACGACCGAAATTGCACAAAGGGTTTGGGGAAGATTTCTTTTGCCAATTTTTGCAATCCAACGTGCTTGGAGATAAGATTAAACAACTCCTTTTCATTCCTACTATTCAAAGAGTGATAAATTTGGAAGAAGTTGCAACAAGCGGGAGGAACAACAAGGAAATAGAAAAAAAAAGTTTGTTTATCAATTTTTTTATAAATTGTTTTTCATTTCTTTATCTAATAATTAGAAACACCAACTTGAAGGTAAAGGAAGAAATTTGAAGCAAAGAGAAAGAATCTTGAGGGAGGAAGAAAAATATAGGGATTTTGAGAAAATTCCTATTTGTAAGTAAATTCCCCATGTTATAGCTTTAATTAAATTTTATTAATTAATCATATTTCTTTCATGAGCTATATTGTGCAATTTTAGAAATTTTGGAGAGAGAGATCAAGATTAATAGGAGTTGATCAACCAAGGATTCAACAAGAAAATGAAATTTGAGATTCGAGGTTGTACCCTACATCAAAGACTTGAGAGATTTAAAGTGGTTAATTATACTTGTGTTAAATTGTACTATTATATATGAGACAATGGAAAATTCTAATACATGAATTGATATAGAAATTGTATAGTTGAAATTGATGAAATTCTTAATGCATATGGAAGTTTATAAATATGTGAAAGAAAATATATGTAAAGAAAATGGAAGGTAAAGTTGAAATGCATATATGATACGTATATACATATAAAAAAAATACATATACATAAATGTTAAGGAAAACGATATAATATCAAATAAAACGAAGGGAAAATGAATATCAAATGAAACAAAAGGAAAAAGGATATAAATGAAAAGTACAGGAGTCACCCCCGTATGGTAATGGCTGGGAAAACAATGTACCCGTGCACGATAAATGGAAATGGAAATGAAAATGAAAATGGATGCACCTTTGGTATATTTAGATAGTGCTCCTATACAATTAAATGGGAAAAAGAATGTATATTAAAGTAAATCTTTTAAGTATGTAAATGAAGATGTTATAATGTGCATAAAAGGCTGTATGAAATAAAATGAATAGAAATTAAAGAAAAGTATGCCACTTGTTAAATGAATAGACATACAAAAGAAATTAATTATACTGAATTTATATGTTAATTGTTAATGATTACCCACTGAGTTTACTTAGTAAATTCAAACCGTGAATTTAAATGTTTCAGGTAAGTCTTCACTGATTTAAAAACGGCTGAAAGAGAAGACTTTGTCTACAGAAGGCGAGGTGCAAATGACATAATGTAATTTATTATTTATGTATTAGTGTCTCTTTAGTAAGATAGAGAAAGTTGTATATTATATTGGTTAGGAATTAAATGAATTTTTTTTCTTATTATAAATAATCTAACATGAATGATTCATAGATATAAAATTATAATGTTAATTTCATATATAATTTATGATTGTAAATTTTTTCTAAATACAACAACATCAAGCTTTTGTCCCACTACGTGGGGTCGGCTACATTAATCCTTTTTTGCCATTATGTCCAGTTAAAAGTCAAATTCTCATTTAAATCTAATAAAGAATTTTTTCTAAATATATAATATAAATTAATAATAATTTATATTAAATTTAACATAAATTAGTAATAATTTACATTAAATGTATAAGTTTATTTATAAACTATATTTATTTTTTAACCACAAATTTATATCATTATATTTTTATTCTATCATTATTATATTATATTATTTTTTATTTAAATAATTATAATATTTATTACATCATCTAGTTCAACCCTCGGTTCAACCTCAGTCGAACTAGGAAACATTGAACATCTTATTTTTCATGTTTGACGTCCGGTCCAGTTTTCACAACCTTAGTTTTTAGACTACTAAGTATAATGCAATGTGCATGATTTCTTTTTGTGTTTAAATGCGCAAAGCGTGATGGAAATCAACATTTTAACGAACAAAAGCTTTTATGAGTTATGTTGTATATGTATATTATGTGCATACAATAATTATTTAATTAACCAAATTTAAATTACATCAAGCAATATTTTTTTAACAAATATAATACTATATTTAATAATAATAATTTTGAGTATTTTAAAAGATGAAAAATAAGCAAAAATATAAATAATGAAGTAACATAAAAATATCTAAAAAGTAAGAATATACTTGTGAGATTGAAGGACCATTGACCTACATGTATGCGTCACAAGGCAACACAAATTAAAATCAATTGAAATCAGAGTTAATACCATTTGTCAGATTCATCATTGCAAAAAGATTGATTGAATGGTCCGTCTGCTTTCAAAATCATCAAATGGGTGTCTGTATTGTAAATCAGACTTGATTATGCCTCATGACCATCAAATTTATTAAAAAAATGGCCTCTCGTGCTTATTTTGATCAGACACGGTTACGACAATATATAACAAATGTGACTTCGTTCGAACTAGGTTTGAAACTCTATAGCATGTGAGCTGGTTTGATTTTTTTTTTCACACCCTTTAGCCTTTTCACTTAACCATGCTAGAGTTATTTATAATGTGTGATCATTGAATTGCAGTAATTGCACCGGGGTTCCATTCTGCATTTCTGGAAGCCATGATTAGAGTTTTTACTGACTGTTCAGAGAGGACAGTGGCTAAGTTTGAGAAGTTCATTGAAGGAGGAAATGCTCAAGGAAAAACAATTGAGTTAGACCTTGAAGCTGAGTTTTCAAGTCTGTCACTTGACGTAATTGGTTTGGCTGTATTCAACTATGATTTTGGTTCCGTGACTGAAGAATCTCCAGTAATTAAGGTTTGAATTTTATGTTGTTTCATAGTTACTATTTTATTTGTTTCACTATCCAATCCTACAATAATGATTTGTTTGTATTATTATAATCTAAGGTGACACTGCTTAAGCGGAATGAATATAGATCAAGGTGGTTTGATTTTTAAGGAATTAATGTTGAATTAACTTTTATACTGTAACAATCTTTGTTAGTGATGGAGGACGTTATAAAATCATGCACATGGTAAAAAAATTTTGGATCGGCTATCACCAATTTAAACAATTATTAATATGTTTTGATGAATACAAAAAGCTGAAAAATTCATGGCGGCCTAATGGAAATTTCTCATGGAACTTGAATTCAGTAAAATTCTAATTCAAGCCTCATGCTAGTACAAGGAGACAGCTTCCATTGTTTTGTTGGTAGTTACATGCTGTAAATATTCAAATCTAACTAGCACTCAAGCTTAGATAGAAAATAAAATACTTCTAAGGAAATTTTGGGCTTTGAAGGCTTGATGAGCTCAGGTGATTCTCCTTTCCCTCTTTTAGATTTTTAGAATAGGTACAAATGGAGTTATCAAAGGACAATTATTTGACTTTGCAGGAGATTTTTTTTGGACAAAAGGATTTATCTAGGTTTGTGTTAGATATGGTGGATTTAGGTTTATGATGACTGCAATCCCTTATAGTTTATTACATATTAGGCTCATTTCTTGAACCAATCGTAGGATGCCAAAATAAGCACCATCCAACATATCAAGCAGGTAATTCAGGGTCTCGAAAAAGGGGCTAATTTGGATTCATAATTAGTGATAGTAAACTACTTTTTCATTTAGGAGAATAACACTAGGAAATTGCAAAGGGAAGAAGTATCTCTCTCTCCCCCGTCCCAAAATGATCGAGGGGGAGCAATCACCTACTCTGCTTTTAATTTCATTCATTAGAATAACACTATATAATTACAAATGGAAGAAAAGATGTCTTCTCTCCCCCTTTAAGCTCCTTCTCTCTATTCTCTTTTCTTTTTTTTTTTCCCTCCAAGATGATCAAAGAAGATAATGACTTCCTTTCCTTCCCTCTACTTCTACCTTTGTAGGAGGAGTACATTAGTTACAGAAGATGGAATATTCCATTACAAGAAAATCAAGAATTTCGTCTTTGTTGTTTTGGATTTGGTTATAGGAAAGGCAACATTGACTTAGATAATTCTTGGCTTGCACTTGAGTTGCTTAACCATTCTATAAGAGGAATTCAAGGATCTTGACATAAGAGCTCGTTTGGGAACCTTGATTCCTCTTAGCCTTTGCTAATTTACTCATCTCTATGGAATCTTCTTGATAGCTACTCAACTCTCTCAAGGACCATCTAGGCTATTCACTCTTTGGATTTTCTCAACAAGTCTTTTAATTCATTGACCACATGTACCCTACTCAACTGTCTCATAAAACAAATATGCTCCGTTCTCCAAATTGCATAGACCATCAACCATCTCTTACTAATTTTGTGGATTAACTTATTGCTATGTTGGGTTGTTGTGGTTCTCTTCTCCAACAATTGTTCTACCTCCAGTTTATTATTTTTGTCTAGCAATAGGTCATCAAAAGGAGGCAGAACTTTCTTAATCTCATTATCTAGCATCAAAGACTACTATTTTCTTAGATTGTCTAGGTACACCATAGGGTAAATGCCTCTGTAGGATAACAACTCTAATCGATATACATTCTCTCCAAACTTCTCCGACCCCCCCCCCCCCCTCTCAATCTTTTATTTCTAAGGTGGAAGCAAGTGTTCTCCTTCAAACTTATTTTCTACTTGGTGAGGGCCTTGCCAACACTTGTAGTTTCTTTAGACTTGTGAATAGCTTCTTTTCCTTTGAATGGATTATACTAAGCCATTCTAAGAACCTTTGAGCCTTATCGGACATTTATCTTTCCTCCTAAGCAATGATGTTGGCTCAATTGAGAAATCCCAGCCAAGCAGATTTTGAGGTAGATACCTTTTAAGGATTTTTCTAATATTTAGTTATATTATCTAATAGTTTAATTAAATTATCTAATATTTTAGTTGTGTTGAGAGATAAGATGTGAAATGTGAAATTAAGGATGCTCGGCAAAAATAGCCCCATTTTGATACAAAATGTATCAGGATTTTCTGATATAAGATGCCTAAGCTATTGGATATGCAAGATGCGGGAGGCCTTGGATTTGACTTTTTTAGTTTTTTCTTTTATTTAAATTGAATTATATATATATAAATAATAATTATAATATTATTATTTTTTATCTTTTGACCTCATATTTGCTCATTTTATTATTGTTTGTGCATATATTGATTTTTTTTTTGAGTAATTGCCTCACGCGTAGGTGAATTTTGACATTCCCATGTGTCGATTTTGATTTTCGCCTCATTGATTTTTTGGTCATTTGTGTGTCTCGATTTTGATTTTTTCCTTGCATGTGAGCGAATGACTTTTTTGTTGTGCAATGGATTTGAAGGCTTGTGGGCACTTCTTGTGTATTTTTAGCATTCTTGATGTATCAACACAATCCGTTTGAGTAGTCTCTTTGCTGAAGTTTTTCTACATCAGCTTCCTGACAAGGGATTGAAAATCAGATTCTGGGTTAACAAATAATAATCGAAAATCTCTTGGTTGACTACATAATGATGCAAGTGGGATAAAGCTAATAGATACACTTGTAGAGACATCCTTCACAGAACCAAAAACCATCTTTGTCAACCTATGCATATTTAAACCATCATCGTCAATACAAGTTACTGGAGGCCCAGCTTTATGAATTCTTCTATTCTTTCATGGTGAGCGGTATTGTATGTGGTGCTAGGTGCATGCAAGTCTTGATTCACAACTTCTAGCTCAGTTATATTTGACCTTATCATTTTCCTTCGCATCCCAAGCCTTTAACCTATGATGCACTGACACACCTACTTAAGAAAGAATGCAGTGTCGAATACAGAAGTGCGCCCGATATGGCTGAGACACGTGTCGAATATGGCTGAAACGTGTCCGATTAAAATTATATTTAAAATTTTAAATTAAACAAATACGCGTGCCATAATTTTTTATAATTAAATTTATTTAAATTAGGACTACACAAGCACAACAACAAAAAATCCAAAGATAAATAACAGTAAGATTTTTTCTCTAACCTTCAAAATGTAAAAGGACAAATCAGAGCCCGTGACACTCTGACGCAAAGGACTATAAATACATCATTAACGATCAGATGAAATGAACACATGGATAGATTCTTTGTACATAAGATGTAGATAAGTGCTCACCTCCCTAGTCTCTTTTGCATTTTTAATAAGCCCATCAAGGCACTTATTTATGACCATTAGGTCACTATGGAATTTACGCTGCCTTGGAAAGATCCATCTAGCAAAAGGAAGATTCCAGTAAGGGATGTAAAATGTTGACCGATGCTCAGCCTCAAATAGAGTTCCATAGACTGCCTGTTTCATAGTTTACAGAACACAAGAAACACCTTTGTAGTTACAGTAGAAAAGATAAGTTCAGTCAAGAAAAGAAAATAGCAGGAAGAATGCATATTAAGCATGACGCTTCTAAGAAAAAAATACAAGAATGTTTTCATGGACATAATCAGGGACCATTTTGCCTCTCAAGTTTGAGCATCTCTGAGTAAATTCTATCATTCAATCCAATGGTCCCTAGGTTGTCAAGAGTACCATCAAAAACAGTAACTGAGAATATGAGAGGCCACTTCAAAAAAAAAAAGTCATTGCTATTAAGCACATCACAGAATCCAATATCTTCATAGTACCATCAAATAGTAAAGTATAAAGTCCTTTCTGACAAGCACGTTTCATATAAAATATAGAGCTAATTATAAGCACTAAAGTTAGAATTATTTTTTCTAAGAGTTTGCTTATTTACATAAAAGCTGCTCTATCTTTCGGGTATTATGTTTTATTTTAGATGCACGGCAACAATTGCACTTTCTTACAATCTGAAGATCAAGATCTAGTTTCCCCCTTCAGTCAGCACACATGGACATCATTAACACATCATTAGTTAAATCCAAGTTGTTAGTGTCGGAGACAATAAAAAACATGACAAATCAGCAGTAGAAATCAATAATCTTGTTAAAAGGGGGCTTGACACTCTGCCAATACTAAATCATGGCTATTCATTCATTTTTTATCACAATATTGTTAAAATGATGTCTAATTTTTATTAAAATAAAATACGCCAAAGAAAAATCATGATTTCTAGTAAATCATCATATTGTTCCTTCATTATTATCATAATACAGTTAAAATGGTACCAAATATTCTAAAAAAAATTCACCCAACAAAAAAAATGGTCTTCCTTAAACATGAAGTACTTTACCGTCGATGATTTTGATTGTTTCTATTTTTGAGTTATATAATTACAGTTCCAATTATCGATAAATTTGAACTATTAATTTTATTTGTATTTTAAAAAAATTAAAATAGTGAATAAATTATATATTATATTTTATTCTTAAAATTTAGATTATATACACACACACACATATATATATATATATATATATATATATATATATATATATGTGTGTGTGTGTATATAATCTAAATTTTAAGAATAAAATATAATATATAATTTATTCACTATTTTAATTTTTTTAAAATACAAATAAAATTAATAGTTCAAATTTATCGATAATTGGAACTGTAATTATATAACTCAAAAATAGAAACAATCAAAATCATCGACGGTAAAGTACTTCATGTTTAAGGAAGACCATTTTTTTTGTTGGGTGAATTTTTTTTAGAATATTTGGTACCATTTTAACTGTATTATGATAATAATGAAGGAACATTATAATGATTTACTAGAAATCATGATTTTTCTTTGGCGTATTTTATTTTAATAAAAATTAGACATCATTTTAACAATATTGTGATAAAAAATGAATGAATAGCCATGATTTAGTATTGGCAGAGTGTCAAGCCCCCTTTTAACAAGATTATTGATTTCTACTGCTGATTTGTCATGTTTTTTATTGTCTCCGACACTAACAACTTGGATTTAACTAATGATGTGTTAATGATGTCCATGTGTGCTGACTGAAGGGGGAAACTAGATCTTGATCTTCAGATTGTAAGAAAGTGCAATTGTTGCCGTGCATCTAAAATAAAACATAATACCCGAAAGATAGAGCAGCTTTTATGTAAATAAGCAAACTCTTAGAAAAAATAATTCTAACTTTAGTGCTTATAATTAGCTCTATATTTTATATGAAACGTGCTTGTCAGAAAGGACTTTATACTTTACTATTTGATGGTACTATGAAGATATTGGATTCTGTGATGTGCTTAATAGCAATGACTTTTTTTTTTTGAAGTGGCCTCTCATATTCTCAGTTACTGTTTTTGATGGTACTCTTGACAACCTAGGGACCATTGGATTGAATGATAGAATTTACTCAGAGATGCTCAAACTTGAGAGGCAAAATGGTCCCTGATTATGTCCATGAAAACATTCTTTTATTTTTTTCTTAGAAGCGTCATGCTTAATATGCATTCTTCCTGCTATTTTCTTTTCTTGACTGAACTTATCTTTTCTACTGTAACTACAAAGGTGTTTCTTGTGTTCTGTAAACTATGAAACAGGCAGTCTATGGAACTCTATTTGAGGCTGAGCATCGGTCAACATTTTACATCCCTTACTGGAATCTTCCTTTTGCTAGATGGATCTTTCCAAGGCAGCGTAAATTCCATAGTGACCTAATGGTCATAAATAAGTGCCTTGATGGGCTTATTAAAAATGCAAAAGAGACTAGGGAGGTGAGCACTTATCTACATCTTATGTACAAAGAATCTATCAATGTGTTCATTTCATCTGATTGTTAATGATGTATTTATAGTCCTTTGAGTCAGAGTGTCGCGGGCTCTGATTTGTCCTTTTACATTTTGAAGGTCAGAGAAAAATCTTACTGTTATTTATCTTTGGATTTTTTGTTGTCGTGCTTGTGTAGTCCTTCTAATTTAAATAAATTTAATTATAAAAAATTATGGCACGCGTATCTGTTTAATTTAAATATGATTTTAATCGGACACGTTTCAGCCATATTCGACACGTGTCTCAGCCATATCGGGCGCATTTCTGTGTTCGACACTGCATTCTTTCTTAAGTAGGTGTGTCAGTGCATCATAGGTTAAAGACTTGGGATGGGAAGGAAAATGGTAAGGTCAAATATAACTGAGTTAGAAGTTGTGAATCAAGACTTGCATGCACCTAGCACCACATACAATACCGCTCACCATGAAAGAATAGAAGAATTCATAAAGCTGGGCCTCCAGTAACTTGTATTGACGATGATGGTTTAAATATGCATAGGTTGACAAAGATGGTTTTTGGTTCTGTGAAGGATGTCTCTACAAGTGTATCTATTAGCTTTATCCCACTTGCATCATTATGTAGTCAACCAAGAGATTTTCGATTATTATTTGTTAACCCAGAATCTGATTTTCAATCCCTTGTCAGGAAGCTGATGTAGAAAAACTTCAGCAAAGAGACTACTCGTCTCTAAAGGTGAGATTGGCTGTATCTATTAATTATCAAATAACAGAACTTTATGTCTAAGATGATGAAATCTGTTGTATGTGATGGTAATTACAGGATGCAAGCTTATTGAGGTTTCTTGTTGATATGCGTGGAGCTGATGTTGATGATCGTCAGGTAATCTTTGACTCTTTTCTTAATTCCAGTTGCATAGAAACAGTTCAACAAAAGTATAAATCGGTGTATGTTCTTCAATTGTCACGCTCATGAAGTTAGGGTTGGATTGATCTTGCCTTGAACTCTATACCCTGATCAACTCAAGAATAGCAAATACGGATTCATGGAGTTTTGATTAATGATGATTTTTCTGTTTGCTTTTTTTTTTGAAAAATTCATTATAACATCAGCTTAGGGATGACCTTATGACCATGCTTATTGCCGGACACGAAACTACTGCTGCTGTTCTTACCTGGGCTATTTTTCTTCTTGCTCAGGTAATGAATGTTTTTTATTTATTTTTTGTTCTGCTGTACCAATTTCACTTGAAAGATGCATGTCCCAGACTTATACAATTATATAATTGACTTATTTTATAAGTCCAGCAATTTTGATCTAGCAGAACCCATCCAAAATGAGAAAGGCGCAGGAAGAGGTTGATTCTGTGCTCGGTGGAAAGAAGCCTACTCTTGAATGCCTTAAAAATTTGGAGTAAGTGAATGAATATGCATTGGTTTGGAAGGAGTGAACAATTTGTTTATTTTAATTTTTATTTTTGAACCGAGAACATGCCTAGTAGTTTGATATTGAGCCATATTGTGAATCTTTATTATAGTCCTTCTGACACATTTTCTTTTTAGGTACATTCGGCTCATCATTGCCGAAGCTCTTCGCTTGTACCCTCAACCGCCACTTCTAATAAGGCGTTCTCTCCAAGCTGATAAACTCCCTGGTATGGTCATCTCATTTTGTAATTTCGTTGGCAAAATCTTAATTTCACTAATGTCAGTTTTGGATTGAGTTTCATCTTCATTAACCTTATCTCAACTATCTCGTTTTAACTTTATTAAGTGCCCTCTCCATTCATTCATGTGGACAGCTATGTGAAGTGTTGATACTAATTTATGCTTGTTTTTTAGACGACCAATTTATGTTTTATTTTCTCCTTTCTATTCTCATACCTTTCTTAAATTTTTTTAACCACCTTAACAATACATTTTTTACCATTATTTGTACATATTCAAATCATATTTATCTATTTTTAATTAACTTATCTTTAATTGAAATAAATGAAAGTCTTCAATTTCTTCCAATTTTATTAAATATGAAATTAATAATTATTAATCAATATTACTTGATGATCAAGCAATACTTTAATTTGATAGGTTTGAGTAGTTGGATCTATTATATAATAGAATTGAAATATAAATAAGTTGAAGCTGAATGCTTAAATTGGAAACTAGGATTACTATAGAATAAGAGGTTATCATGTAGTGTTAAGGGTTGATTGTGTTAAGCAATAATTAGCCTGGCCATGCAGCAGCTCTTGGGATTGAGAAATAAATCAATAAAGTTGAGCGTGTGATAGAATGAGAATGCTAAGTTAGATGTATGTTAAATCTAAGAATGATAAATTGAAAAATGATTGCGGGATTAGGTCAACAACCAAGTATATAGTTTATATCAAAATGACTGGAATGAATCCAAATTCTCCATGTTTGACTATGTATATTTCACTTTTGCTCTCTCATTGGAATAAGGAAAAATTCTAGTCTTTGTCCTCTATATTGTGTCATAGTGACCGAGATGAGAGGGGAAAACTTTTGTTTCACATTTCCGGAAAGACCACCTATTTGTTCGTTTACCAGGTTCGGCATGAAATCATTTAAATCTAATAAAAAAAATATTGTCACGATCCATTGGTTGTTGACCTAGTGATATGTATATCATTGTATCTCACATTTTATAGTCTTCTATACATGATTTTTTTGTTAAATTTGATCATTTTTGAAATGAGAGCCCAGCCATTATCCGGGCCTTATAGGGAGACAATCTTTTTTAGGATATTGAAGTGGAGAAGTAAGAAGCCCAGAACAGAATGAGAAGTCGAAAAACCTTGCGAGACTCTTTCTTTATGGTTGAGGAATCTGTCTCGTCTGAATTTCCCCCTAATAATCTAATTAGGTGTCTCGCTATCCTGCTCTAGATCCCTGGCTTTACGGACCCTCATTGTAAGACTTTTGGGAGTCATGTTCACTGCTCCTGCACCTCCAACTCTGACTTTCTAGAATGAAAAGGATTTCTTCCTACTGCTGAAGGGTTCTTAAGCCCTAATTTGGCTTTGCCTAAAAGACAATCTCATACAAAGTGAATTTCAAACTATTACACTAATATTCTAATTTAGAATATATATACTTATATAGAATAGAATTAGAATATAATTCTATCTATCTCATAATATGAAGTTCTATTTTAGATAATATATAGAATATAAGATTCTAAATAGAAAGAAGATGAAAAGATAGAAAAATCTATATATAGAATAGAAAAAGAGAAAAGAAAGAGAAAAAATGAAGCGAATGAAGGTTCGCGAAGCGAATTCGAGCTTTCTCGAAAGCGGCTTATGTAGTGGTCGGCATTCGTAGACTTCCCCGGAGATGACTAGTGCCTTTGGAAACAGTCGTGACGCTTTGGTGACGAAGGTAACCGGGGCTAATTTATGCTTGTTTTTTACACGACCAATTTATGTTTTATTTTCTCCTTTCTATTCTCTACCGTTCTTAAAAAATTTTAACCACCTTAACAATACATTTTTTACAATTATTTGTACATATTCAAATCATATTTATCTATTTTTGATTAACTTATATTTAATTGAAATAAATGAAATTCTTCAATTTCTTGCAATTTTAATAAATATGAAATTAATAATTATTAATCAATATTACTTGAAGATCAAGCAATACTTTTATGTGATAGGTTTGACTTTTGAGTAGTTGGATTTATTATATAATAGAATTGAATATAAATAAGTTGATGCTGAATGCTTAAATTGGAAACTAAGGATAACTATAGAATAAGAGGTTATCATGTAGTGTTAAGGGTTGATTGTATTGAGCAATAATTAGCCTGGCAATGCAGCAGCTCTTGGGATTGAGAAATAAATCAATAAAGTTGAGCGTGTGATAGAATGAGAATGCTAAGTTAGATGTATGTTAAATCTAAGAATGATAAATTGAAAAATGATTGCGGGATTAGGTCAACAACCAAGTATATAGTTTATATCAAAATGACTGGAATGAATCCAAATTCTCCATGTTTGACCATGTATATTTCACTTTTGCTCTCTCATTGGAATAAGGAAAAATTCTAGTCTTCTCCTCTATATTGTTCTGCTTATCTTTCTTCTCTTTATTTTCAACATAGCTATCTCCTATAACACTCATTGTACTTCTCTACTCTTCCCCCACGGCCTCTATATCGTGTCATAGTTAAACAACAATAACAACAACCAACCTTTATGCCACTATGGGCGGTCAACTACACAATTAATCTTTTCTTTTTTGTGAGTCAAATTTTCATTTAAATCTAATAAAAAAAAACATTTTTAATATTCTAACACAGTTTTTTTCAGGTCTATCTATACAATCCTTAATATTGGTTGTTCTAAAACATCTACTCCCATTACTGGGTCATCAAAAGGCTGATGTTTAATGTGACAAAATCATCTGGGCGACTCTCTCTAATCTTATCTATCATTGGAGCTACTCCAACCTTTTAACATATATACTTGTTTCGCATTTTATTTCTAAATGTAAAGTCTCTTATCCACCTGAGCATCCTCATCTTTGCAACTCCTAACGTAATTTTATGCTTCTCTTTTAATGGCCAACATTCGATGCCATAACGTATTATAGGTCTCACCACCATCTTATAAAATTTTCCCTCACGTTTGAGGGGGTACTTTTCGATGACACAATATGCCCAATGTATTATTTCACTTCAACTGTCTAACTTGAATTTCACCATTGCTCTAAACAATGGACCTGAGATATCTAAAATAATTGTTCTTTTTAATTACTTGATCACCCAATGTCTCGATGAGCTGGATGCACTTACGTAGTTCGTTTTGTAAAAAGAGATCCCGATCAAAAGAATTTATGCACAAAATAAATATGAATGATAAAGATCCAAATGTGCATAAATTATCCACCACATCGTCGCCGGCCCGATTACACATATTTTCAAGCATAATCATGGGCAATATGTGATCAAAAGGGATACATCCCAAAGTCGATGACGAATCGAGATAAATGGCATGATTTGACCCTTCACCACAAAGCAGTGTAACATGCAGACAAGTGTATCAACCAACAAAATTCAAGTGACAAGACCGTACAAATCACTGATTTCCAAAAAAGGAGGTCAACAACTTATCGACTACTTAAGGCACCAAAATATAAAGTGAAAATAGTACAAAATTGCAAACATCTTCGTTTTGATAAAATAGTGCTACTATAAGCTAATGAGGACATGAAACTCTACGTCAACTAAGATTAACTTGATATTATCCTATTTGGCAAACATCTACCTCAAATATATAATATACTCTAGGATGATGCAACTCATGACTGCTAATGAGGATACTTGATTAGATTGGGTCAATTTCCTCTACTAAGTTGATTATGGTCCATGGCAATTTGAGACGATGAAATCTTAGTATTTTAATAATCTTCATCATCATTACTCCATCTGTAGCTAGAAGCTAACGTTAATGAATTTTCTCAAATTTAAATTCAAATCGGTGCTATTGTAAACTAAATATTTAACGTCTACCAATTAATCTTAATTGAAAGTTCTCTCTTGTGATCAGAAGAGATAATTAACAATAGTTGATTGTGCCTTAGAAAAATCTTAAAATATTTCATTAAGTGTTAGAAAAATGATAAAAAATATTTGTGTAGTGCTTTGTATGATATTCAATTTACCTTCTTAGAATTTAAGCTATAACTATTTCTCTTAGGAGAGACGGTGCAAATTTTTAAAGCCCATAGTCCTCACGAAAATCCATCCCACAAATAGATTCATCTCTACAATTCCTCTTAAAGTCTTTGATTGTTTGGCCTTCATCCACATACCACCTCCTGAGAGGAATTAACTTGACTTAAAAAATAATTTTGTTGATTGTTGATTATTCTTGTTAATAAGACTAAAGAGGGAGTTGAAGGTAAACTTGAATTATGGAGGTCAACCATAGAGTCCAAAGGTTTTTGCTTGAGTAGATCTAAAACTGAATATCGCACAAAAAATGCATTGCGTACGCACAGCCTACGCATATATTACTCGGTGTTTAAAATTTAGTTAGGTTTTATGTTTCAAATTTCAACATAAATTTATCATAAACCCTGAATACAGAGAAAACACGATGGCATCACAGTATCAAACATTTAAAAAGTTTCGAGAAGCAATGCATACGCATAGAATAAGCATAAAATAAGAAGATCTTCAGAACCTTGAACACCAATGCATAGCATAACCATAAAATACGCAGTACGGAACATAAAACATAGCATTAAGTTACCTTTCTCTTTGGGGGTGACGACATCTTAGAAGAAACTGAGTGAAGAGTGCTTGAAATTGCTCCGGAGTGAATGCTTGAAAGTTCGAATTTTTGCTGAAACTTGAAATCTAAACTTCGCCTATGCATTCGACCTAAACCAGGGTTTAAATGTTGATGCCACGTCGACATCTCATTAGGCGCGCCACGTCAGCAACTGGGGGAGCCGAACTGAAAAAAAAAAAACTTTAGGTTAATTTTATTTTTTTAGAGGCGGCGCCTTAAATATATGAGGCGAGCCGCGCCACAGTAAACTTGAGGCGTAAGCCTTATAAACTGAATTTATTGCGTGGGCTTTGAGGCTTAAATGGACCAAATTGCGCTGAGGCGCACCTCTTATTGCGCAATTTTAAACGTGCACAAATTCTAATACAAAATATCTTATCAGTAAGTACATCTCTTATGACAACTTACATTCTCAGTTTGTACTTCTACAACTAATTTTTTTCGAATGGACATCCCAAAAATACTCATGAAGCATTAAAAATATCAAAATGGAGAGATTTTATCTATAAAGAAATGTGAGCACTTGAAAAGAATGGCACTTGGAAACTCTTAATCTTAGCAAAAAGAAAGAAACATATTGGGTATATATGGATTTTCAATACGAAATATAAAGCTAGCTGATAGGAGCATTGAAAGAGATAAAGTTAAATTTGTTACAAAAGGGTTTATTCAAGCTAATAAAATTGCTATCAAGAAACATTTGCATCAGTTGCTAAGAATAACTCAATCTAAGTCATTCTCAAATAGGTAATTATAGTCGCTTAGAGAAATATAAAGCAAACAAGTGTTTTTAGGAGTAACACTGAAGTTGAATTATGGGCCATGAATCATGATAATTGTGAAGGAATACGGCTCAAAAGACTTCTTGAAGACCTAAAAGTTCACATTAAAGAATCAATTATAATGATGTGTGGCAATTAAGGTACAATTAATATTGTTAAATTCCCAATTCAACATGATAGGAGTTAACTTATCGATATTGATAAGCACCTCAAAAGTAGAAAAATGAACAAGAAATTATGGAAGTAATCTACACTGCCAAGTTGTGCGAAATATGTTTTTTTTTTCTTGGTTATTGTATAAACTTTATGTTCTGAAAGTCAGGATAATTCTATTGTTGTGAGCTTAAATTGTATATTATCACCAGTTTCTTTAGTTTATCTAACTTATATGGTATGGGCTGTTAGGCTATTTTGAATTTTTATTCTTTTTAATATCGTTTAAGCATATCACATTCTTAACTATTTTATTATGCTTGCATTCTTTTACAGGAGGATACAAGGGTCATGAGGAAGGATATGAAATTCCTGCTGGGACTGATATCTTTATTTCTGTGAGTTTGATGAGTTTCATCTTTTTTTTACTTTCGTACTGGAACTGTGAAAAAGGAAACATCTTCGTTTAGCTTTATTTATTAGCCAATCTTGCTGGTGAAATAGAATACATGCTGTTCTTCACATTTGCTGTTGATTTAGAGGTTTCTACTTTGTCCCTTTGGTAGATGAGCTGGTTGTCAGGTTGATACGATGTTGCAGAGATATTATCGCTAGATTAGAAGTAGGTATCTTGTGATTTGAGGGAAATCATGTTCAACGAAAAATATGTAACTAGAAGTTATTAAAGATCCATCTTTGATCCCCCCCCACTTGTTGGCCTTTATGCCACATTTGTTACGCCCATCTAAATAAGATATAAATGCGTCTTCTAAAATATAATGGCAAACACAACTCACTTTGGTTTGTTGGTTGGGAGCTTAGGCTACCAACTAAGAAGTCTTGGGTTCGAGCCTTGTGTATATGATGTGTGTATGAGTCTACCTTAATTGGCCTAAATGTTCCCAAAAAAATGGCAGTATCCACGCACTGGTATGTCATATCAAATAAATGCATCTGAAAAATTATCCAAAAGCTTATTAAATATTTGATGCCATATTAGTTTTCCTAAACTCTCTTGGCATGCAATGTGGCTTGACGTGGACTGCAGGAAGTATACATTTCTTCTTGAAACATGCTTCTGATATTTGAAACTATGGACGTTCCTCCACATGTAACTGCATTAGCATTTTATGTTGCATTCCCTCTTCTTATCTAGTTCTTTTTGAAATATTCTCCTGCTAGTCTAAACTATAGAAGTAGTTTTCTCATCCTTCCCTTCTAACAAATCAAGTCATGATATATCATTAAACTAAGAAATCTTTTAACAGGTATACAATCTTCATAGGTCACCATATTTCTGGGATCAGCCAAATGAATTTGAACCCGAAAGATTTTTGATTCCCAAGACAAGTGATGGCATCAAGGGATGGAAGGGGTTTGATCCAACCCGAAGTCCTGGAGCTTTATACCCAAATGAGGTTTGCTGCTACCTTTGCTGGCGTCAAGCTTGAGAAATGCTTCTCCTACTCATGTTGGGGCCACACTCAACACCACCCCATGCCTCGAGAGATTATTCTGTGTGGACATCGGATGGGAGAACCGTCCAATTACGCCTGGTACTGCGCTCGGTACCGAGCGGTACCGAGCGCGGTACATTTTTTGGGTGACATGGCGCATTTTTAGTAGTCTCCGGACGACATCCAGCCTCCGCACAAAATAATTTTTCCCATGCCCCGAAATTGCCTCCTAGGGAAATATGGTGATGTTGGGTGAGAACTAAAAGGAGTTAGAGAAACATTAATGCAACACTCACAGTGTGGTGAGGACTAATCCAAATTCTGAAAGGTTTATAATGCTGAAGTTATATGATGCTTCGCTGTGTTAGGTAATGGCAGATTTCTCCTTCCTGCCATTTGGTGGGGGACAACGCAAATGTGTTGGCGATCAATTTGCGCTGCTTGAATCAACTGTGGTGCTAGCTCTGTTCTTGCGGAAGTTTGATATTGAGCTCAAGGGATCTCCAGATGACGTAAAACTGGTAACTGGAGCTACTATCCATACTAAGAATGGTTTGTGGTGCAAAATTAGGGGAAGAACCGAAGCACTTTATTAGTTAGAAGGGCTTTGTTTTGATCTTAACTGTTGCATTAAAACGCTCTTCAATTGATCTAAGAATATAATTAAGTTTTTTTTTTTTTTTTTTCTTTCTATTTTGCTGGTTTTTGGAGTTCAATCACTAATATTTTAGCCTAGGGGTTTCTGATGGGGGAACTTTGAGCTAAGGGCATTTGGGATTACTTCTATTGGGCTCGCTGACTCAATATATGAATGCTCGCATTATGATGATGAAGTTGAAATAGAAGATTTATGCCAGCATCAATGAAATCAACGAACAAGAGGAAGAAGATGATGAGAATGATAACACAGAGCCTTTTCCTATTTTAATTGTACTAAGACAATCTTTTTATATTCATAGTCACTATTTATGTTTTCAAATATCTTGATTTTTAATTGTCTATTTGATGTGATGAAATGATGTACTGTAATAAAATGATTTGTTGCAATGGATTGAACGATTGAATTTATAGAAATTGCACTACCATTTTTTTTTAAAGGTTTCCCATAGAGTTTCCTCTTTAAATGACGATACAGGCTCACTGGGCTTAGCTTGGTTGATGGACGAACATGGTTGGGAACCTCCCAATCGATGTTCGCATCCCCGAACATCCCATCTCAAGCAGCTCGCCTCATTTGAAGGGAGTAGCAAAGCTTGGGCGGGCCTGTGGGTTGGTCTGCTAGGTTTCAATGAGGGATTAGTTATGCCGCCATGCGCCTTTTAAGAGGATGGCAGCGAGTAAATACCCTCGTTCTAAAAAAAAATAATACAGAAAGCAACACAAAAAATCGTAAAGTGGAACAGAACCCAATTGGTGGATGTCTACTATAATTTTTTTATAAGAATTTCCACCTTCCTCTCCTTCTGTGTTTTTGGCAAAAGATTACTTCTTTTTGGTAGATTCAAACATATATATCTCTGGAAAATATGCTGAACTGAAATTTAGGCTTCATTTGAAAAAAAAAATTATAAAATAATTTTTAGAACTATTATAAAAAGCAGCTTTTTTACTATAAATTTATTTGAAAACTAGTAATCAAATAATACAATAATCAAATAGAAAATATGATTGTAATTTGAAAAATAAAGCACAAAAAAATACAATAATCAAATAGAAAATATGATTGTAATTTGAAAAATAAAGCACAAAAAAATAATTCTGAACAAAGCCTTAGTTTGAAGAAAGTGTTTTCGGTTGAGTTCTTAATCCGCCGGTTTAAAATCCATCAAAATCATAAATTACTGAAATACTTTTATTACCTTTCGATGGATTATGTTGTTAGAATTGGCAGCTTTCTTAAAATGTTCTTAAAAATACTTTCTTACTTTGAAATTCATGAATAAAAAACAGTAAACCAATGCAGAATTGAGCCAAAATCGATTCACATAGAATGAATAATTTTAATTTAGGCTATGATTATTTGATTTGAACTTTCTAGAACCCATGCTAATAATTTTTATTTTAATTATAAATAAACTCATCTCCAGAGGCCTAACCAACTTCTATTACAGAGATAGACAGTAATTGAGGGAGAGAGATAGACAGTAATTGAGGGAGAGAGATAGACAGCAATTGAGGGAGTAAAATACCTAAAGCTTCATTAATTTTCCCCAACCAATACATCATACAAGGCCTCTATATATAGAGATGTACATGGGTGTAGTAGCATGCATGAACAAAATAACCTAAAACTAAATCAATATATAACAAAAATCAAGGTCGGTGATTTCTCACCCTAAGGGAAAATTATTAGGTGTGGACACTAGACGAAGAGAACCGTTCGATTTTATCTTTGTATATAGTAAAAGCATAATCAAAGTGCAGTTATTGTAGTAGATGCGCTTTGACTGTGTTTTTACTGTAGACAGAGAGAAAACCGAACGGTTCTCTCCATCCGCTGTCCGCGCCTAATAATTTCTCCACCCTAAGGGCATCTCCAACCGAACGTCATTCGCCCACTTGTCGCTCCCGTGAGCGTCTACCTGAACAACAAATGAAAATCCACTTTTGTGTTTTGTCTCGATTATGAACAGTGCGACGTCAATTAGGGATGTCAATATTTGACACGACACGAAAACCCGACTTGGACCCGACCCGAAAAATTCGGGTTGGACCCAACCCGATTTCAAAACGGGACGGGTTAAGGTTCCCAGATTCGACCCGTTTGAAAAATGGGTTGGGTTCGGGTTAACCCGGCGGGTTGCCGGGTCAACCAGTGAACCCGTTTAATTTGAAATGCCCCCGCTGCCCCGCGGAGCTGCCCCGCCTACTCGTGCAGCTGCCCTGCCAGTAACTTGATTGGTTGGCGATACATATTAGTAAATATATTACATGCTCTTAACATAACCTAGGTCCGCTTCTGCTTATATGAAATCAGATAATGCTCACCCTTGAATCACCCTTGAATTTGTTATTCGAAGGTTGGACAATGAGCCTTGTTTCTTATCATTCAAAAGTTCTCAAATGAACCTTCTTTCTTATCATTTGATAATATAATGTCACAATTAAAAAAATATTACATTAAATAATATCATAACATATAAAATTTTAAAAATAATATAAAGTTCAAAGCATTTCGACATAGAGTTAAATATTTTTCTTGAAATCTCTTCCCTATTTTAAAAGAAGAGCTATCTCAAAGGATTAATGGATGTCAATTATAAATTAATATTTACAAATAATATCATAAATTATATTTATTTTAGCATAAATTTAAAAATATTTAAACTTTTTATAGTTTTATCCACTTTGAACTGTAATGTGTAAAGCTTCAGAACCGCTGCAAGCCTGCAAGAACAAATGGCGTGTTGACCAATTCCGACGAGCCGCATCTTGCGAATGTTTCAAATTAAGTGGGTGGAAAATTAATATCTGCAATATTTCTTTTTTACATTTTAGCCCAATTTTGAGACAGTCTTCGATTAAATACCTGAAATTTCGTCATCGCAGACGTCATCCACTATTTCCACCAACGGTGTGGCGACTGTTGCCGGCGCAGCCTCTTCTTCTTCAACTATGATCAGAGTTGATGAAAGAGTTCTAAGGGTTCTTTCACTAGGTCCGGTGTTCGGATTCGTCCGGACATCAATTTAAAAGTGCCTCATCACCTTGATATACTTGGGACTCAGTGTATCTGGGTGACGTGGTGCATCTGGATTGGTGTCTGGACGGTCTGATCACCGGACGTAACAATTCGCACTATTAATAAATCAGTTTTACAGTGTTTTCTAGATCTATTACAACAATTTAAATATCTACTAATTTATTTGTAGTAGTTAAAAAAAAAACTAAAAATCTCTTGTATGTGTTCGTTGAAAAGGCTTTAGCAGCGATTTTATGAGGTGGCTAAGGCATGAAAAGAAGAGATTGTTAGCAAATTTGTGAGCGGCAGTGTCTTAGCTGGCGATTTGCAAACCACTGCTACAAAATATTATGATAAATTTGATTTTTTGACGGTAAATTTAGCACCGATTAAAACTGTTGTCTATATCTATCTATAACAATGATTTTAAAACCACTGCTATGAACTGCTGCTAAAACATTAACTTTTTTATAGCGTTTATTTGTGCGGGATAGTTTTTAAAGTAATTTTTAGTATATATATATTTAAAGTAACGAAAAAAGATAAATATCAAAAGCTATTTCAAATAAAACCGAAGTCTTTTTTTATTATTATTATTGAGAATTTTAATTCTATATGTCTAATACTAATGATATTGAACCAAATTATTCTTATTACTGAAATATAAGCATTATCATGCACATGCAAATGGCTACAAACCTTCTCTTGGTCAAAAAATGAGCAATGTTTGAATTCCATATTTAGTGTACAAATCTCTTTTGAACTGATTTGAAAACATGTTTCGAACCAAGGATTTGACTATTAGATGTTCGATTACGTTCGAATCAGTGCTAAAACTGATGTACGAACTAGGTTTGAAAATAGTTTGAACAAGGTTTAAATATCTTGAATTAGATTCGAGCAATGCTCAGATTTTTTTCGAATTGTATTCATACATTATTCGAACTTGTTTGAACCTTATTCAAATCTTCTTCGAATCGAGTTTAAACTTAATTTTCAAACATTAGTCTCGAAAACTGCTTAAATAAGGTTCGAACTACGGGTGTCAATATTTGACACGACGCGAAAACCCGACCCGGAAATTTCGGGTTTGACCCGACCCGATTTCAAAATGGGTAGGGTTTGGGTTTCAGAAATCGACCCGTTTGAAAAATGGGTCGGGTTCGGGTTGACCCGACGGGTTGCCGGGTCAACCCACGAACCTGTTTTAAATCAACTGCCCGCATTGTCGGATTCGACCCGAACCCGACCCGTGATCCGAAATTGACACCTCTAGTTTGAACAAAGTCTAAATCTCATATTACAAGTTTGAATTGTGTTTAAATCTTATTTAAACTTTAGAAATATATTTGTCTATTATTAAGTCAATAATGATCTCCTAGTCACAACTTTGTGCTGATAAAAGGGTTTATAAATCTATAATATATATTTAGTAATGTTAATGACATATAATTCTTTATTTAATGTATTTGTTGTTATTGATTATTATTGTATCTATCTAATGTCCGCAATTCTTTACTAATGATATGGTTATTGATTATGTAAAGCCATGCAAAGCTCCAAAGCTATAGAAATAATTTGAACTCTTTTATTAAAATAGTAGTTTTGATATTATGAAGTGTTTATGTAAATGCATTGAGGACAAATTAAGATATATATATATATATATATATAACATCTCACAACAATAAATTTAATTATATTTTTAACAAATATATATATTTTTTAATTTAACATTACATACATAAATATTCATAATTTATAAATTGCGTTTTGTTAGTATTTGTGGAATTTGATTGTCTCTATCAATCGGATTGTACTGTTGTCTCGCACCTCAAGTCAAATTCTCGTGTTTATAGTGGTGGTGTGGGAGGTTCTTCCCATGCTTGGTTTCGGGTGTTCAAATGCCCGATGCAGTGTATCTGAGCAGCCTGACGTTGTGTTCCCAAGCACCTTATTGTTGTAGAGTTTGCTGAGATAAATGATAGAGAGTTGAGCGCCGCAACACTCTCAATTTGACGTCGTAGAATTGTCTAGTGTACGTTGTAGCGCTGTGGGTCAATCTTATGCTCTCTTACCCTGACCTGAAATCGTTTAACCACATATAATGATATACACATGCTTTCCAATTATTCTATATCAGTATCAAATTATTATCTCAATGACATGCATGCTCAACATGTCACATGCTCATTATTAATACAGTATCATCAGTAAAATTGGTGACAGTAGTAGTAAAGCAATATAGTGATAGTAAATTTGTATAATAACAATAAATCAATTAATAGTAACAATAAAGAAGTAAATGAATAAATAACACGTATTTCAATAGTCACACTAAACAAGTAAGAAGTCCTAACTTAACAGTTATTTTTTCAATATCATGTCAGTATTAGTAAATTGTTTGCACAATAAATAAAGTCGTCACTCTTTGTCCGTCAACATAGTAATCATCTTTTTATAACTCACAATCATTTCACATGAATTGGTAGATGATAACATAAAATCACAATATTAAAAAAAAAACTCATCAGCCCACCATATTATACACGTCAATCAGTTTGCAGCCAACGTTAATGAAACAAACTTTTTACTTATCTTCACATATATTATTATCACATTATTAACGATCAACTATTACCCAATCATTCACCAATTTTCATTCTCAATGTTAGTATTAACAATATGCTTAAATAAAAAAATTGAACTATTTATTTAGTGAAAATTATAAAAATTTTGATAATGTTTATTTTGCCTGATGAAATTTAATACTATTACAGTTAAAATTCTTAGATAGTTGACATCTATTACATATAAAAAATTATACGGTAAAAGTTTGCTAAAAATCAAGATATAATAAGTTTTGCAAGTTTTGACAAAATTAAAAAGCATAAAACACAAAATATACTACAAAATTATCTAAATCACTAATATATAATAGTTCTATATAATGAGACAAGCAAATCTCCCTACAGAACTGATTAACAAAAATTGCTCCACGACTTCTAAATCCAAACTTATATTTTCTCTTTTCTCATTTTTCTCTCGATATCTTTCTTACATCTCTATGTTAGACGAATCAGAATGGGAAAATATATTTCTTTTAATGGTAATAGATATTTTATAATAAAATCTCATAAGATATAAATATAATTATGTAAATTATTTAGTTTTACATATATATGATATAAATCGTTTTATATTTTTAAATCAGGAGCTCTAAAAATTATAAAAAAAATCATAAAATAACCAATCAGGAGCTCTAAAAATTATAAAAAATTCATAAAATAACCCATCATATTTAGAAAATTTTGATGAAATCGATTTGTAAAATGAACACCTAACAATCCCAAAAATCCTCACTTATACCGACATACATTGATATCTTAAAAATTTGCACCAATGCCTAGAAAAAAAATAGTACAATTAAAGTACAACAATATTTATGTTATGATGAAGACGGTTAATGATTTCGACTTATAATGACTCCATAAAAAAATATTTAACTGGGTCAAAATATGAGTTTTTATAATTGTCGCCCAACAACGCTAGCGTCTTCCTCCGAGGAAGGGCATCATTTCTAATCAACGACAAACACTAGTGAAATCATTTCAACTGGGTGGACCGATAGATTTTCCCATTTTCAAGTTTTTTCATATAAAAATTTGATGTCTCTTATATCTGTTGCACCTACAACTCTTAATGTGTGTGTTGGATCTTCATACAAAGTAAGGACGTTAAACTGTTTATATCTCTCTATCTCTACGAATGTTCTAGCACACAACAAGATGTATTTGTTATAGTTTTTGAATTTTACTTTGTTCTATTATGACTATTATATTGCTCTTTACTAAGTTATAAATATTGCATTACACTCTATTGTGCTATAACTATTAGATTGATCTATGTTGAGTTGCATTATAGCTATTAGCTTATGCTATATTGTATACATATGCCTTATAATCTCTAATATTTTAGCTCTTTTGATCACTTTCAACAACAATATTTGAATATGATTTAAACCATGTTAATGCCATTTTCTATGGACTTTAAATAGGTAATCTAAGATCAAAATAGAGATTATTTTGGCATGAAATAAACTTTTGGGCATATTCGTCCAAAAATACAAAGAAGCGACATATTTCTCTAATTACAACTATTATAAGCATATAAAGTAAAAAAGTGCCTTTCATTAAGTAGCATCCAAAATTTAACACTAAGGCTTCGTTTGGGACGGCTTTTTTACTGCTTTCTAAAATGGTGTTTTAGAATAATTTTTTTTTTTATTTTAGTATTAAAACTCCGTTTTAGAAAGTAATAAAAAAACCGTCCCAAACGAAACCTAAGGCTTAATTTGGGACACCTTTCTTACTGTTTTGTTTTTCATATCATAATCATAATTTTTGTTTGACCACTACTTTTTCACCGTTTTCAAAATTTTTGTTGTTGTTAAGCTATTTTCTGTACTAGCTTTCAAAACAACTGCTTTCTCCGAGTAACTTTACAACAATCATTATAAAAAAAGCTACAACCATCTCAAACAATCTTAATTAAAAGATATAAATCATATATATGATAAATGACGGACATTTGATTATATGTCTCGTATAACCAAATCGAAGAAATATTCTTATTCTTTGTTTAGGGTTTAGAAATATATATATGTGAATGCTCATTTCAGCTCAAATTAACTAGATTAAAATAAAATTCAAATAAGAATTTTGCATGATCGAGGAAGCAACTTTACTAAGTGTATTATGTTAGGGGCTCGCAGAGAAGATTGGGGCCTGTTAGGAGAATATGATAATTTCATTAATTTAGGCTACATTTGAAGTTTTTTTTTTTTTTTTGCTTTCTAAAATAATCTCAGAATTTTTTAACTAAAATATAAGTTTAAAAAATAAGTAAAAAAAGGCTGCTCAAAACTTTTAATCATGATATGTGTTACTTATTTACGAGAAATTATTCCGTGCGGAGTCCATACGGTAAAGAACAGTTCGGATATGAATGTACACAGCAATTGTATCTATTGTATATATAAGAAAATCAAATTATATATATAATTATAGTCAATATATAGATTATGTACACTCCATACCGGAGTAATTTATCCTTCTTTACGATGCAAAATTTTTCTTACACCATCTATATCCTCTTAGACTGGGCGAATTATTACGTCGTCCGGACACCCAATTCAAATGTGCCACATCATTCAAATACATTGGGTTCCGATGTATTTTGATGATGTGGCCCATCTGAATTAGTGTTTGGACGAATCCGGACACCGGACGTAATAATTTGCCGCACACACATTCCCACCCCACGTGCCACCCACCCCGAGTCCCCGACTTCCACCACTTTACGCCACGTGGACCTACCAGTGTCCGTCAGCGCTCACTCGCACAATTTATTTTTTGACCCGGCGGAACACTTCACCTCCCTCCCTTTCATAAACACCCCCATCTTGGCTTTCATTTTTGCTGCAACTTCCAAGCTCCAGTTGCCTCTCCCCATCCACCGCCACCTATGGCCGACGGCAGCCCAAAACCAGCCTGCTGGGCCCAACTCTACCACAGAACCACCTCGGTTGCCGTTAACTCCGACCCCACCACAGACGTCGGGCGGTCCACGAAGCCTCCCCGAAAACGCTCCCGAGCTTCCCGCAGAACCCCCACCACTCTCCTCAACACTGACGCCTCTAACTTCCGCACCATGGTGCAACAATTCACCGGCGTCCCGTCCGCTCCTTACATCCCCGGTGGACCATCAACCATCAACCTCGGATTCGGGTTCGGGCTTGGGCTCGGGCTCGATAACCCTATCCAACAAACCACTACCGCTCAGCCGAGTTTCGGCGGGCTTCATCAGCAGCAGTACTTCAATAACTTCGCGCCAGCCGACCAGTTCGCCATGAACTACGAAAACATAGATAATGAGATCTTTCAAGGGATGAATAGCACGATGAGATCTTTCACGGGATGAATGGCACGATGTTGGCGGGGCTGCCGCCTGCCGGAGTTGCTTGATGGGATCGCCGGCGGAAGCCAGCGGTAATGGAGTACGGGCAGAGTGAGGGGTGCTTTATGTGAGGAGCAGGTGGGAGTTTCAGGGAACTAGTTTAGTTACAGTTCTGCATACAGTTAATGCGATTTGTGTCGGCTTACACAGTTTTATGTTATGGAATCTTATCTTTTTACATATTGAATGGTTTAGATCTTTTTTTTTTTAATAATTTGTTCTGCTAAATTTCCATGGTGGAAGAGATCAGAGTGGGCTTCTCTGCTTTTGAAATTTTTAGGAGTTTTTGATGGGCCAGAAGGAGAGAACTGAGAAGAAGAGGGTGACAGGGAAGTCAGGAAGAGGGGAGGAAGAAGGTGGCGTCTGCTTGCTAATTTATTCGTTAATTAGTCAACGGTCAACTTTGACAAAGGATTACTTTGAGGCAGCTTTAGCCCTTTTAGTAGAAGCAGAGTAATTGATGGGAAAATACTATTATTTTAATTATTTTAATTTTGAAAAAAATTCTTTTAGATAATAAATTTTAGTATATCTGATCATGATTTTTTTAAATACTAAGAAAATTGTTACAAAATGTAATTATGATAGAAATATAAAATTTGTGAAAAAATTATTCCAAACAAATACTTAGATATTGTTTGGAACGACCGCAAATTTTAATAAAGATGATTATAAAATTATTATTGAAAAAGTATTTTTTTTTTAATGTTGTTTTAGAAAATAACTTCCTAATATAATAATTTCATGGAATAAGTGAAAAATCAAATAAAAATTATTAATGTGATATGAAAAATAAAGCAGTAGAAAAGTTACCCCAAACGAAACCTTAGGTTCGTTTTGTGATTGTTTTCTTAATTAATTTTTAAAATAATTTTTTAATACAAAAAATTATTGAAAACAGAAAAAAAATAGTGGCAAAAAGCTATCTAAAGCAATTTTTTTATTTATAAAAAATTATTGAACTTGAAAATTTTATATTAAAAAGCTGTCTTAGAAAGTAATTAATGAGAGAAATTATTACGTGCATAATCCGAACAATCCAAATTTATGAGGGTACACAGAAATACATAGTAACACATTTTATGTCCATACTCAGCACCTAATAATCTTCCTCAAATAAAACCTTTAGGTTGACCCATCATTTTAGCAAGACTCTCAAAGCATATCTTGAGCCGGTGAGAGCATTGTTGTCGAGGATAAGGTTATCGAGAGCAGAGCTGCGGCTGAAATCGATAGGGATCTCACCTTCAAGGAGGTTCTGCCACATGATCAGATCCCTGAGGAAAGGAAGAGTAGTTATGGAGGAAGGGATCTTCCTGGTGAGGTAATTAAAGCTGAGGTCGATGGAAACAAGATTCGAGCAGTTGCTCAGAGTTGCTAGAAGCCAGTGAAGAGATTGCTATGCAAATGAATCTCCCTTAAGCTGCTGCCAAATCTAAGGGGGATGAAGCCAGATAAAGCATTGGAGCTGAAATCAAGATTTTCCAGCTTGGTGAGGTTAAAAAGGGATTTGGGTAGCTCGCCGGAGAAATTGTTGAATGAGAGCTGCAGGATCCTTAGATCAGAGATCTCAGAGAGCGTTTCAACAGGGATCTCACCTGAGAGATTATTAAAAGAAGCGAACGAGGGCGGAGAGGGCGGAGTTGCGACGTCTGCTGTGACAGGAGCGAACGGAGTGGTTTTTTTATTAAGTTAAAGGTTTTGAGGTGGTATATTAGTAAATATGTAACTTTAGGTGTTTAATAGGTAAATATGATAGTTTTAAGTGTTATACATGTAAAAACCCTAAAAAAAAAGTTAAAAAAAATAAAATAAAATTTAAGATTAAATTAACAACAATAGTTTCGGGGTATTCTTTCACAGAAGTGAAACTACGCTTGCTTGTGTTGCATAACGCGCGACGCAACCAAACGGCAGAAATTATATAGCGTTGCAGTCTTCGCTTGCAACTTCAAGATCCGAACTGAGTGAAATGTTGGGAGCTTTCTCGCAGATTTCCACTGCGAAGCCTCTCCTTATTTCATCATCATCTTCTTCTTCTCTTTCGTCTCCCTCGGGGAAGGGAAGGTGCTTGAATACTTCGTCCCGAAACTTCCCTCTCGCGAGCAGAATCTTCGTCAGGAGTAAGCCCCAATCGGCCCCTCCACTCAAACATTACTGAATTTAGACCCTTCTCTTTTGCTATGCTGAACAAATTATCAAATGATTTTTTTATATTTCGTTCATAATTTACATCTCGCTTAAGAATTTGAGAGCGCTTGTTTTTTGTCTTCAGCAAGTTTAACCTTACAAACCCTAAAATTTGTTTTTTGTTTTTTGTTTTTTGTTTTGTTTATAACATCCAATTCTTATTTCTGAATATGTATTGGTTAATATAGATCCATAGCTGCTCTCTCTCGGCGAAATGAAAATGGTAAAATGGATGTGTTGCAAATCAAATAAACATAATTAAGAATAATTATAGCGGCATATATAAAAATAAGTCAGTTGAAAATGGGTTTAAATGCTTTGACATGTATAACAAATCATATATTACATCTATTAGATGACCAAATAAAATATTTGCCAAAAAATTAGGAATAAAGGGCAAACTTAAGGTAAAATACTTAGAAATTTTAAGAATAATATGCGAATAGTAGATTTAAATATTTAATAGTTCAGGCAACTCTCAATAAGAACAAGTGGAAAAAAGAATTCCTAAAATCAACCCAAATAGCTTGGATAACACTAATGGTGATAATATTGGCTCTTTCTATAGTTGTAGAATCTGCAAGAAATACCTACAAATGTTATGTAGTTTCTTTGTCCTGTTTCTTTTCCATTTGTTTCTTGGATATGATTAAATAATATAGCTGCAATATGGCATGGGGGATTAAAAGGAGTTCTGCTATGAATGGAATGGAAATTCATTTGCACCAATAGGATCACATGAACGGTGATTTGAAAAGATGAATTTTTTTGGAAATAATAGAATACAGATATTACTAGAATAGACTAAGTCTGTAGTACATAGATAAATATATTTGTATAATGGCTTAATTTAGTGCATGGAACTCCTGCCATTGTGGGGTTTAGATTGGCTCAACTTATGTACCCTAAGCACTGCATAGGTTCTTCAGAATTGGTTTAGCAAATTTATTTGATGTCAAAACAAGAGCCACATGGTTGATCTAATATTTTTCAAGTAGATTGTGATCTTCTAAATACATGATATAAATTTTTTTCATAATCACCTAGAATAAGGCAATCAAAATATTGAAAGATACTAAAGCTAGACAGTTTGATGCCTTAAAAATAAATTAAAGGAGTCACATTTTGTTCGTGGAGGAGTTTGATATATGGTGACTATTGGACTGATATCAAGTGTTAATGCCCAACTTTAGTCTTTCTTTGGTTCACTTCCCATCAAGTGGTATCAAAGCTAATGATTTGATTAAATACGAGTAGTTCATGAAGTTTATTGCCTAATCCCTTAAAAATTTATTCACATCCTCAATTTCTATCGATACCCAATACTCTACCTATCTCATGTGACACCGATTGAATGGAAATACATAAGAGCAAGAATCCCTATAACATAGAACAACTACATAAATCTTTAACAACTACAAATCCAAGATGGGATAATATAAAATAACAATATTGCACAAAGCTTTTAACGCTAAAAAGTCTTTCTCATACTCGGTAAAAATTAACCTCACCGAAGCGACCCAAGGCCCTCCTTGAAACTTCACCGGTGCTTCTATAGTGGCAGACGACCTTTTGCATTGTTTCTTCATGGGCTTAAACTGCAACGATCGTTCTTGTATCTAATAACATGGAAGAGATGGTAGATTAGTTGAAGAACCCACGGCCACCTATAAGAAAAACTAGATAATTTTTTGTGGATCACTGTTCCCATGGAAAAGAAGTAATCTGTAGAAACTAAAAACCAGATAAATGCTTCTTGCATTAAATGACTCATTCTTGATTCATCAGCCAATGTCTTTGGACTTCTTGGATTCTTGTTGTCACCTTATTTCTCTCAATCGCAAGTGATTCTATCTAAACCTTTCCTGGAAGATGTCTAAGGTGGGATGGACTGAAAATAGCCATGCCTGGAAGAGTTTCATGGTGGACTGGGCTGAAACAGCCCTCAGCGGCAAGGCCGCGGCAAGGCACAGCCACGGCCTTGCCTTACAAGACTGCTGGACGGACACTCATGGAAGGGTTCACGCTGGACTGGATAAAGCATTGCAGATCTCTTACCTCCATCTTATAGAATTTTCCCTTAAGTTTGAGGGAGACTTTTCTATCACACAACAAGCTTGATGCATTCCTCCACTTCAACCATCCAACTTGAATTCTGTATGATGCATCAGTATCAAAATCTATCACCATTCAGGCGGAGAAAAGCTGAGAATTTTCTACTGCCATTTGTCCTCTCTAATGCCATGCTCTATGTTCTATTTTGCTAGCATTAATATGTGCACAATGATAATTGTGGGATGTACACCTCTTTCAACTTCATTAATGCGTAATTCGTTTTTACAGATCTTTCATACTCCATTAGTGAAGCCTCACTTATCAAATTATTCTCAAGGTTCGGGCATATTATTGATAGTATGTTTTTCAACTTTCATCTTTTGAATAGCATTTTGTGTTATAATATCCTCACATCCCATAAATAAACACTTTATCTACACTCCGATTTCTGGCAGTTGAGATTCCACGACATGAAGAATCCAAACATTCAAAAGGTTATGCATTCATACAATACTGTAGCCAGGAAGATGCCATTCTAGCTGTAGAAGAGATAGATCGCAAGGTATGGCACCTAAACTTTTGTTCAATTTTTCTCCTCAGATGTCTGTAAAATAGTGACCAATAACAATAAGCTCCTTTATTTTTTATTTTTGAAGACAAATTAAGCTATTTTTAAAAATATTCAAAATAAGTTCTAGATTTTTTTTGAGAGATCACATTTTCTAAATGAAAATCGCCCTAGATATTGCCCGCTGCCATTAGTTCTCAATGCAATTTGTTTTTTTCTAGTGGATCAATGGAAGACTTGTTTATGCGGAGATAGCAAAACCCTTGCATGGTATTGCTTATCCAAAGACCTCAGGCCCTCCTTTACAGCAGAGTTCTGTATCAAATGAATCAAGAAATTAGGAGGAAGAGGCTGCACAGAGGTATTGCTTTTTGCTCAAATTTTGATGTAGCTAGGTGACAAAAACTTGCTGGATGGTTTCTTACAATCTCTTATAAAAATTTTATGTTTTGAATTTTGGCTGTTTTCTTGCCCGGTGTTCTGAAAGGATAAGGATCTGTAGTGGAGTATGTTAGACTAGTCTATTGGACCGGTCCAACCGGTCTACACGGGACCGGCCCAGCGCAATAGAGGTGGAATTTCTCCGCCTCCTGTGCATGCCACGAGATCAGCGGGGGCTTTTTTGGAAGGTTTTTTTGAGGGAATTGCGAGGGAATTTTGAATGTAGGGACTGTTTAGGGATTTCCTTTTGATTTATATGCATTAAATAGTTTGTTTTCCTAGGGTTAGGGCATCTTGAATTTGGTTGAAATTTGAGATCTCCTAAATTTAGGTTTTCTTTGGGCTCTAGCTGCGTCTAGAGATTTGGGAGAGATTGATCCTCCTCTCGAATTGAGGATCAACTGTATCTTGCTATTTTCCGTTTCTATTTCCTCAAATAATACAAATTTTCTACTGCTTTCTTGATTTTGTGTGTATTCTTGTGGAGGATTTTCACGGTTTTTCAAAGATTTGATAGGAAATACTTGAAATCTACGAGTGCTTCCTCTCAGAGTAATGCAGCTGGTGTTGTAGTTTATAAGGTGAAATTTTGGTGTTGAGACTACATATTTTCTTTTTGCTCCCTTGATCATTTACTAGCTTTGTTTCTAGGCTTGGTTTAGTACAGTTAGGATGATATGCAGATGATGTTTATACTCTTTTGCTTTTGATCATTTTGTAAGCATTGGTTGGGTCTAGGCTTTATTTGTTATAGCTGTTGATGCTGTATTTTTAGTGTTGCATGAAATAAAACAATCATGTTATCATATATAATTATCAGTTGCTTTCACTTTTCTACAGTGTATTCATATTGGTACAGGATGTTAGGGGTCTAAAGTTTTTTGATGCAATGCAATGAATGAAATTAGGAAAGAAACCTGATGGTTTGTACATCATAAATCACTAAATATTGTAATAACTTATTTAATCGAAATTAAAAATAAAAAAGAGAACTTTTATTTAATCATAATTGTTTCATTGAATAGCTCAGAACCTTCATTTATAGAAAAGATTACAGGTTAATAGAGCCACACAAATGCAGGATTAGTAGAAAGAGCCGGACATGCAAACTAACCCAAGGTTAGAAGGCCAAATTCCATCTTCCAAGAAGAACAACATCAAAACATTAGCGCCTAAGGGCATCTCCAGCCGACTCGAACGACATTCGCATATCGCTTGTTTGCAGCTGTCACGAGTCTCCACTCGAATGCCAAATAGAAACGCATGTTGCATTTTCTCTTTGTTGTGAGCAGTGCAATATGTACTGGCGTCGTATTGTTTAAAATACAAAAATGCTGTTCGGTTACCGTTCAGTTGGACGCTCGTGGTTACTGCAAACCGGAGAATGACATTTAGTTGGATATGACCCAAGGAAATTCCCAACTCATGTAAAGTGTAATTGCACTAATTCCCATAATCTCCAACATCAAAAACTTAATGTTGGAATTAACCTAAACTAGAGCAAAACCTATGCTATATCAATTCGTATGAACCAACCTAATACTAGAAATTAAAATATATTCTTCTTTCAAGGCCATCATTACTTTTTTTTTTCTTGGTTGAAGAAATAGCAAAATAAAACAAGTAAGCCAACTAATTAAATTAAATAAAAAATTGTGTTTCTTATGAAGCCATTCATGAATTATGACAAGCAAGTCTATCATATAATAAACAAGATATTAATAAAACTCACCATCAATAGTGGATATCATATCACCATCTAAAATAACCTTAGGAATAAGCTGTGTAGAAGGGCCACAGGGCTAGATGTGAACACACAAGGAAGAGTTGAAAGAAAATATAAGGTTCATGAATAGGGTCAATCATGTTAAAATTTAAAATAATATAACAATTTTTTGAAAAATTTAGTTTATGTGTGCTAGTTTGAATGCATTATTCTACTTTAGAAGGCTTTATCTTTCTCCTATTCAAATTCTTTAAAGGTTTTTAATTGAAGCCTTTCTAAATTTAAACAAACAATGGCTTGTAATTGTTATAGCTATTACTTAGTTTTTTCACAAATGATGTAATGCAAGTCATGTATATGTTATGTGAATCATTGCGCGATAATATTATGCCTAGAATTTATATGGAAGTCGACAATATTTATGCTTTTTAGGTTGATGCCCTATGGCAATCTCAAATCGACTCATGCTAGTAGATTCATTGATAGATGGATTGTACGCATATTTAGGATTTATTTGGGTCAGCTTTCGTACTGCTTCTTAAAGCAGATTTATAGTACAAAAATTTTAAATTTTGTACTAAAAAGCTGGTTTAAGAAACAATAAGAAAGCTATCACATAATATTTTGATTGATAAGTAATTACTTCTATTGTAAATAGTTATAAATTTCCGCATTGTATTTAATTATGGAAAATTGGATTGGTTGAATTTTTTTTGAAATTCTTAATCACAAAAGTGCACACTCAATTCATCCCTTTTTGATGTGCCTTAAACCATCAAGATATGGAAAAGTATAAAACTATATTAAAGTTTGAGCCTTAAGAGTGGTTGAATGATCTATTAGAGGACTGCATATGAGTCCCATTTGATGTACGTGATGGTCTTTTTAATATGCTCATATGGTTTGGACGGGTCATCCATCATATATTCATATGGACCAATGACTATAGTATGAGCATTGTCTACATATGATGTTGGAAGATGGCTATGGCAAATAGCAATGACTTTTTAAAGTCCCAAGGGAGAGTAAGAAAAAGCATACCCCATAGGTGAAACTCTTCTTGGATCAGACATCAAAGTTCATCACCTAGGACATTCTAAGTGTTATTAGTAACGGAGAAATTATTCTGTGCAGAGTCCGGACGGGAACTACTGTGAATGTACATAGTGTAAAATTTTGCATGTAGTTTGGTTTTTTTTTTGTACACAGTGTGTACAAACACTGTGTACACTCACAGTTGGAATGGGAACTTTTCATCTGGACTCCGCACAGAATAATCTCTCTTAATAATGTGTGGCAAAGGTAGATTTATCATATCAGTGAGGGGTTGCAGCTACAAATGTGGCATGAGTCTTACAAGTTGAGTTGATGATACAAAGTATGTTGTCAAGTGATAAAAGTAGAGAATGAACCACGAGATTCGGAGGTCATTGCATGAATATTCTTCAGTTAACAAATCTTGATACATGACAGGATAAAAAGGAGTGTCAAAATTTGGCCCAACCCGGAATTCGACCAGGACCCGACCCGAAAAATTTCGGGTTTGAGTCAACCTATTTGCATTATGGGTCGGGTTTGGATTCAAGTTTTCGACCTGTTTCTAAAATTAGGTCGAGTTTGGGTAGACCCGGAAACTCGAAATCAATATGTTTTGCCCGGGAAATTGAATCGTTGCGTCATGCCATCTGCCAGTTTGTCGTGTCGCATTATGTTACCTTGGCCAGTCAGCCTCACGTCGCCCAGTAGCGTCTGGCCATCACATTGCCCAGTCGCCACAATGCAGGCCGCTCCAATCCTCCAGTGCTCCGCGCCTCTGCCGCTTCACCTCGGCCTTGCCAGTTGCCATGTTGGGTTCGCCGTTCGCTTGACTACGCTAGCCGCTAGGTCCTCCTCGACCTCGACTACAATTGCCGCTAGGTCAGCCACGGCCTCGCCTTGCTCGGTGCTTCGGCTACTCCACCGCTCAACCTCGGCCTTGCCTCGCGTCGCCCAGACCGTGCTACGATGCTAGTTTGCTAGGGTTTGATTCTTCGACCCAACGCAGGCTGCTCTATCTTGGCGGTTCGGGTTGGGTCAACCCGTAACCCGAGCGGGTCATGTTCAGGTTGAAAATCCAGACACATTTGTAAAATCGGGTCGGGTTTGGTTTGACCCGATTAGACCCAGGTCAACTCGAGTTCGACCAAATCCGACCCGCCGACCCGTTTTGACATCCCTAATAAAAAGGGCGATGAATTAGGAAAATCCTCACATATTGACTCCAGCTGGTGGGATTTTTATCCCAGAAGGAGGATCTTGGCTTGAGACTACTCCATGCATTTGATCCCATCTCTTAGGGATGGCCAAAAGAAACCTCCCAAGCCTATCTTTCCCAAATGGGGTGGAGGAAAAATAAAAGTTTAGCTATGTTGTTTTTTTTTTTTTGGGAAAATTTGGGGCTTAAGCCCTTCTATTAAAACCAAAATCAAGGATTACAACTAAAATCTATCAATTACAAGTAAGACCAGTATACCCCCAAAAACAATAGGAAGTAACAAATTATAAAAGGCGGAAAATAGGACTCATAATACAGGACTACACCAAATGATCATATCCATTACAACATTTAAAGCAATCATCTGAATACTGGGTACAAAACCCAGCAGCAGCTGTAGGAGCACCGGTTGCCACAAGGAAACGCACCACAGAAAAACCAAGGACCCTCACAGTGTCCCCACCAGCCATGATCATATCGAGTTCGGTCAGAAAAGCACGCTCTGGTTGCCCATAGACCATCTGAGGAGGTGCTTGGTGTAGTCCATAGCTCATCATCGTCCAAGCCACCAAAAACAACCCAAAAATGGTCTCTAACACAAAAATTGACTGCTGGCAAACTAAAAACCAAGAATATTCCCAAGCCGCAGCATCACGAAGCAGCAGAAAGCCCAAAACATCCAAAAACACCTCCAGATAACCAAAGACAGAGGGCACAAACAGCAAGCTCCAGTTATCCCAAAAAGGCCAAAATTTCACCAAATTTTCCATCCAGAATATCATGATTTTTCCAGCTCTTAACCTTGGCACAAACTGCAGCACAAATATTATCGCATACTTGATTAAGGCTCTTTCTCACGTCAGAAAACCTCCTCTGGTTTCTATCTCTCCATAGGAAATAAGCAATAGCTGAAATAGCAAGAGAAACAAGCTTTTTCTCTAAAACAGCTAAGTTAGCATTGTTCCACATAAAATCATACACCTGAAAAAAGTTTGGTCTTAAGTAGAAGGCATTAGTAGCTGGCAGAAGCTTAGAGAGTACTCCAAAAGTAAAATCGCACCCAAAAAACAAGTGCGAGTGTGTTTCAGGATGCCCCGAACAGAAATTGCAAATGGGACTTACCGGAAGCCCTCTCCTAATCAACAAATCAGCACTCTTAAGTTTCCCAAGAATCGCCATCCAGGCATAGCAAGCAAAACGAATGGCGTGTTTTTTATGCCAAATATACTTATACCAATCCACATTGTTTAAGGAAGAATAAAAATGGGTAGAGAAAAACTTAAAAGCAGGCATAGAAGAACCAACCCACACCAAGTTATCAATATCCTGAATAGGTATACCCAAAATTATGGAACAAATATCAATAGGCCAAGACCTGGGAAGATTCCATCTCCCATTCATAATAATCTCCTTCACACAGCAACCCATCCCAGAGGGGATAAATAAACTCTTACCCAGTGGCTCACCATAGAACCAAGGGTCCCAAAATAAAGAGTAATTACAATCGGTGCCAACTTTGAAGCTAACCATCTCCTTAAAATCAATAGCCTTGCAGCATATAAGTTTCCAAAATTTAGAAGCCGAGGGAGGGGGAGGCTTCCAAGGAGATTCATAATTATTCTTAAACCACCAGCCCATAAGAGACTTAGTATTAATCAATCTCCAAATAAACAAAAAGGCAACAGCATGGTACATCGAATCAAGAGAGGGAATACCAAGCCCCCCCTTGGACTTAGGCGTAGTAACACTCCTCCAAGAAATCATATGCATCTTCTTGTCCGTCAGATTGCCATAGAATAGAAATTTAGAGCAAATCCTCGAAATGAACTTTTGACAGGATTTGGGTAAGATAACACCTCTAATCCAGTATGCAATGGTATTAGCAATCGTGAATTTAATGTATTGAACACGTCCTGCAAAAGAAAGAAACTTAACTTTCCAACCCTCAAGTAGAGCAGAAAGCTTGCTCAGTAGGGGTTGGAAGTGAGAAAACTTGAGTCTTTGAGTAGTGATAGGAATGCCCAGATAGGTGAAAGTATCCTCAAGGTTAGAAATCCCCAAAGAATCATCCAGAATAGTCGAATTGTCAACAGCCTTAGAGAATAAAATTGAGCTCTTAGAAGGGTTAATACAAAGACCTGAGGCATCCTTGAAGGAATTTAGAGTGGCCTTGAGGGAAGCAAGATTAGACATAGAGGCCTCCCCAAAAACAAGTAAATCATCAGCATACATAAAGTAAGACAAACAGAAGTTTTTATGCTTAATCCCATCAAAAGAAGAATTAGGATTAGAGTTGAGGCTATGAGATAAACCATCCATGGCAATACAGAAAAGCAAAGGTGATAAATGACACCCTTGCCGAAGACCAGATGAGGATTTAAAGAAGCCCTCTAATGAACCATTAATGCAAATAGAGAAATAAACATCTGAAATGCAACCATGAATCCATTTGATAAATAATTCAGGAAAGCCTTTACGCCTCAGTCTATCCAAAAGGAATTCCCTAGAAATGGAATCAAAGGCTTTTTTGATATCCAGTTTAGCACAAAAGAACTTGTGATGACCTTTAAAAAGTTTAAGCACTTCCGTGGCCAGAATAATGTTGTCAGTTGAAATCCTATTCGCAATAAAAACCGACTGACTCTCATGAATAATGTGTGGCATAATCTGTTTCAGTCTATTTGCTATAATCTTGGCGATAATCTTATAAAACACATTACAAAGTGAAATCGGCCTAAAATCCGCAAAAGAAGAGGAGTGAGAACCTTTAGGAATCAGAGTAATCACAGTAGCTTTAGCCCCTTTAGGCATACAACCCGAAAGAAAGAAGTATTTCACTGCAAGGCAAAGATGATACCCAATGATGTGCCAAGATTTTTGGTAAAAAGCAAATGAAAAACTGTCCGGTCCAGGTGAGGAATCAGTTTTTCCCGCAAAGACAACTTCTTTAATATCTTTATCAGAAATAGGAGCAACCAGAGAATCAACAAGATGGGAAGGGACCATCTCCCCAACTGGAATATTACCAAAACAATCCACAACAGGAGGTGGAGCATTAAATAACTCAGAATAGTATTCCACAAAGGCATCAGCAATGTCACTATGAGAGGTAAGAGTCCCTTTAGGAGAAATAATCTCCTTAATATTGTTTCTGTTATTCCGGGCTCTAATCTTAGCATAAAGGAAGCCAATATCATCTTCACCTTGAGAGAGCCAATAGGCTTTGGCTCTTTGCTTAATCCATGAGGACCAGTTGTCCTGTAACCTTCCTAAATTTTCATTGGCATTTTTCAGAGAAGTATTAAGACCATGATCAAGAGGATTGCATTGAATTTCATTAAGGAGATGTTGCTGGTTTCTCTTAGCCTCGAGGATAGCCTTGGAAAGGAAGGAAGAAGAAGACCAATTCTTCTTTTTAATATCAATTTTGACTTTCCTTAAACAGTTGTAGAAGGCATAGATAGGGCTGGCAGTGTAAGGTTTGTCAAAAGCATTAAGTAAAATCTCCCAATAACCATCCTGATTAAGCCAAATTTTTTTAAACATGAATCTGGTGAACTTCTTTTCCTCATGATTAGATATCAGAATCAGAGGAGAGTGATCAGAACCGTTAGGAGGATCAATCTTGTAGTAAGCAGTGAGAAAGCAATCCATGAAAATAGAATTCACCAAAATCCTATCAAGCTTGATGTGGATACGAAGATCCACCCGTTGATTATACCAAGTAAATAAAAGACCAACAGAAGCCAGGTCTTGTAAGCCACAGTCAAATATACAATTATTCAACTCATCCAGTCTCCCCTACAACAGAGGAGCACCACCAACCTTTTCATATTCGAATCTACAACAATTGAAGTCGCCCATAATTACCCAAGGAAGATTAATACTGTGCGATAGCATCAGGAGATTATATTAATTTGTTGTTGCTAGTTCAAGAATGAGACATTATATTAATTTTCTATTAATTTTAATTTCTTAAGTTTATTTGGTTGTAAAATAAATCGAGGATTATAATTTTTTGCTTCAAAATGAAACTAATTTTTCTATTTAATTTATAATTTAAATTCAAATAAACAATGGACTAAATGCTCCAAATAGGACGAGGATGACATCTTGGGGGGTGGTGAAGATGGCTTGCCGACATCAATAAGAACAATATCTTCCCTGCTTGGGGTTATCAAAGTGGGAACACTATCGCGGTCATCAGATTTAAAAATTCATTAAAGAAAAAATTGTATGCTCACAAATTGTGTCCAATTTAGTAGAGATTATTACGTGCGGTCATTGGACCGTCTGAAGGTCAATCAGGATGCGCCACATCACTCGATACACAGCGGTACTAGCAACGTGGTGTGTCATGATTGACATCGGGATGGCATCCGGTGATTGCACGTAATAATTTCGCTCATTTTAGACATATAGTGCATCAAGCTAAATCATGAATCGACGAAGTTTAAGTTTGTGCTCATGAGTTAATCCTGTTGAGTTGGTGAGTCAAATTTGAGATAATCCTATTATAGCTAATCAATATGGGAATATACTCTTTTAAAAGCATTACAAGAAATCCTTTAAGATATAATAAAATTTAACCATTAATAAAAAAATTATAAAGTTCTATTTCTCTAAACTTTTTTTTGTCATAATTTTTTAATGTATTTATATTCAATACATACATTTTTAAATTTATTTATATGATATCTAAATTTTAAAATTATAAAAATATATCATTAGTATTAATTTATTTATAATATAATACATCTCTTAACATATTTATTTAATATATGACTTAAATATTAAACTAATATATAACAATTATAAAAAGTATTAGTGTTATGCATTTAAAACCTCTGTCTATTTTTATTTATACTTAATATCTTATCATTTTCCCGTATTGAACGACCAATTTTGACGCTCGGCCCGAAGAAGTTGAAATCTGAAGCCCGTAACCGATCGGAGTCTTCAAAACAAAGAAGAGGGATCTATTTCTCTTTGGTAAGGGAAGAACTCCGCTTCTGATAGGCTAATGGAGAATCCAAAGCCTGAGGAGGAGAAGTTAGACAGCGACAGACCGGTGCGGGTTTACGCCGATGGCATATACGATCTCTTCCACTTCGGCCATGCACGGTCCCTCGAGCAGGCCAAGAAACTGTGAGCCATTTCTCGCTCCTTTTCTGCTGCTCTTTTTGAATTGTCAGATTTCATTGAGATGTAAACTTTCATTCTGATGATTGACAGGGCTTTCTGTTTGTTTTTGGATTTCCTTGATGTTATTTTATTGCTTCCTTCTTTGTGGGATCTATGAGAATTATGTCTTTTAAGGGGTTTTTTTGTATGGTTGTGCTATTGATTCCGAATTATGAATCACCTTGTTTTTCCATTTTTATTTTCTTCTGGAGAGTCGATCTGCTGATGGTTACAAAAATTGGGGGAGCCAAAATGTTTCTCGGGTGGCGGTGGGATGGTTTTTTTTTTTGGTGGTTTATTTTACTTAATGATTAGGGTTAGTATGTAAACTGGATGAATTTGGTATTACATATGCAAATATGTAACAACTTATTGTTATGCATGTAAATCCCTAAAAAATTTAGGGGCCTGGGATCACTTTCTATTCTTATTTTTTATTTTTACTTTTTGTTTATTTTATTTATATTTTAATATGATATAAAAACATATTGAATATCTTAAAAATAATGATTATTTTTATTTCTATTGCATTTTGCATAAGGAATTATGGTTTATGGGGCACTTGTGGCCAGTGGCAGTTGGCCGGGGTGGTTTTCAAAAACAAAAGACGAAAACAACAACATCAAGTCTTTATTCCACTACGTGGGGTCGGCTACGTGAATCCTTTTTTCTCCATTGTCTTATTAAAAGTCAAATTCTCGATTAAGGCTTCGTTTGGGACGGCTTTTTTACTGCTTTTTAAAACGGAGTTCTAGTTCAAAATTTTTTGAATTTTTGTACTAGAACTCCGTTTTAAGAAGTACTAAAAGCCGTCCTAAACGAAGCCTAAATCTAATAAAGAAAGATCATTTCTAATATTTTATAATAAAGTCTTTTTAGGTCTATCTTTACCTTTCTTAACATAAGTCAAATCTAATACCTCTACTTTCGTAACTTTCCTAACTGGGTCATCTGAAAGCCGCCGTTTTATGTGACAAAAAAAAAACAAAAATAAAAAATATATTTTCAAAAACAAAAGAATTACTAAAAAATACAAACTAAATATATTTTTAAAATGTAAAAATTAAAAATAAAGACAGAAGCGATCCCAAACGTCCCCTTAGTTGTCTGATTTGTTATGAGAGTGCTGGTTTTATTGGGGAAACTTTTTTTTGGTTAGAATCCCTATTCCATTTCACTGATATCGTTAATGTATTTAAATTGTTGCATTAATTTGGATGAAGTAAACCTTGAACAACCGAGCAGGAACAATGCCTGTTATTAACATGTGCTGGTGGCTTATTAAGTGTTTGTTTATTTGTTTATAAAGTTAGATTCGGAAGAGCAGTGGCTGGATGCTGTGATTGCTCAAGATAATATATGTTTCTGAATGGACTGCTGTAGTGTCTGACAAATTGCATAAAATTGGGAGTATGTTGTAGGATAATCAGTGATACTAAATATCTGTAGTGTTAACTTGAGAATAGAGACGGCTTTATCTCCAAAATATTTTCATTAGTTTTCATGAATCTTTCTCTGTAATTGATTCCTGCATAGGCAAAAGCATATAGCGGTAGGCCTACTTGTTTTAAATAATGTTTTAATTTCCTTTTTACATGTCTGCATTGTCTACACTGCAAAGAATGTGAGTGAGCTCTTATATTCGACCTCATAGACACCAAGCCAATGATTCACCTAATTCAATCTGTTTACCTACTTGTTTTTCTTCTCTCTATTGCACATGGCCAAATCATTCATTAGAAAAAGGGCCAAAGAAAGTTGTATGAAAAATGTTTTCTAAAGATGTTGAAGTTGCTTCCTAAGTATATGATGATTGTCATTAAGAATTGGTTTTCTTTCATGGCTGAAGTAGTAGTTTTATTTTATCTTTTTATTGATGTCTTTTTAAGTAAGGGAATTATAACCAAATACTGTATGATTAGATTGGGATTTTGTTTTGTTAAATGTTATATTATTCTATTTGCTCAATGGTATCTTTATTAAATCAAGAGGATCTTGAAATCAGTGTATTCAAGAAACATTGTTCCTTGGATTGTTATTTTTTGAATATGTGTTTAAGAAATGCAAATTATTTTTTAATTGTTTTACTCTTGGAAATAATACTAGTAGTAATACAGAAGGCAAGTTGTGCTGGTTATTACCTTCCTCCAGCATGATCTTGTTAGTATTGATTGAGCATTGAGTTGAGTTGAATTTAGATTTAAATTTATTTTTTTGAGCCTGATTATTTTTATTTAGCTCGAGTTGTCTTTGATCTTTAATCAAACTTGACTAGCTTTCAAGGAGATGATTTTGTTGCAATCAAGGAAGCTTATAAGCTTATTTAATTTTGTTGAAATTTGTTGATTAAACATAATGTATGTTAAAAGCTTGTTAATCTACTACACATCATTCCAACTTTAATGAAAAGCTGACAAATAGATGTCAAACAAGCTAATTAACATTTTTTTTATTATTAATTCACTACTACCCTATTAATATATCCCATTTAAAACATGGATATTGGAATGAGCTTTAGATGGGTTCATTAAATGAGTCGGTACCCATGATCTGCTAGTAAGCTACTGAAAAATTTATGCTTTCAAAGATATTTTAAAGCCTTATAAAGGCTTTTTGAATTTGTATACTTTAATCTTTGTGAAAGAACTATCAAATCCAAATGATGGATTCATATAAACTTCTTCAACATCCCCATGTAAAAATTTATTCTTTAGATAATATTTTTGCATAGGCAATTTACAATTGACAACAAGAGAAATTAAGATGTGTATTATATTCATTTTCATAATAAGCTTCCATATATTCTATATTTAACATAAAAAATAATATATTTGCATCCCAAAGCTTTCTTCCATTTTGGTAGTTCAATGATATATCAACTGTGATTTTTTTAGAGCATTTATCTTCTCTCTTATAGCATCCTTTCAATTCTTATTTTTCAAATGCCTCAAATAGAATTTGTAGCATTTTAATATAATTAAAGCTGATATTTATAAGGAATACTTTATGAGTAGGAGGAAAATTTTGAAAAGAATTTTACTAGGAGATGGGACATAGAGGAGAATATATAGTAATTGATTAATCATTATTACCTATTAAAGATTTTGATTCTTGAGTTTGTTGAAGATTTTGGCTCGGCTTATTCCTTGTTGTATAGACTTGAAATGTTGCAACATCTTGGTTTTTTTTTTTTTTTCAGTTTACGTTGCAGCAATGCCTAAATGAAAGATAGTTGTATTAAACTTATTTTCCTGTTGAAGATGAGTTTGATTGAAATAAAAATTGCTTCTCATCAAATGTGACATCCAGGTATGAGAGGAATATTTATTATTTAAGACATTAAAAACACAAGAGTTTGAAGTCATATCATTTTAAACTATTGAGAATAATCTAGATGGTATTTCAGAAGAGTTGAGGAAGTTTTTTATTTTGTTAATTTCTTTTGAATTGAGCACTTATGATTCAACAAGGTTGTCCTGCCCTTTTTCATGATATTTATTTTCACGATAGTTTGGAGGTGTTTGTGGAGTTTCTAGCACTTTTCTTAGATTTGTCCTTTCTCATTGTTACATCATAAATTGCTTTTAGAAGAAGGCTTTTGCCCTTCTTTAAGGAAAAAGTTTGTAGTAGTAAGTCCGCTATCTTAGGGTTCGGTGATTGTTAGGTAGATATTTCGACAAGGTTTAAAACAACGCAATTGGGTATTAAGGCGTTTTTCTTTCGTGAGGTGAGTCGTAAGCCTGAAGGCGTTTTAAGACGTAAGACTCAAAATAAAAAAATTACTTAAAGTGAAAATAAATGTTAAAAGTGACTTTTTAAAAAATACCTAATAATATTTTAAAGAATGTCATATTAACTTTCTATGGAAGTATGAAGTAACAAATTGGCATACATATGAAAAAAAAATGCAAGACGTAAAATAACCAGTGATAAATTGTGTGAAATAGAATTAAAATCCAAATTTTGCAAGTGCAAAATAGGGTATATTTTTCTATTTATGGCTCAAAAAGATAAGTCCTAGGATAAATATATCTTTTGATATCAAAATGTTCCAATATTCCCCAATCTACTAAACCAATCACACCTAAAGCCAATTTACGGCTGATAAATTTTGAGGAAGGAATGATTTCTATGAGTCTTTTGGATCAACAAACCATAAGTTTGTATTCTTTTTGATAACTCCCAATACTAATTATAAGAGTGATTGTCGTATAGGTCCTTTCTGTTATGACCTTACAAATGATTTTTAGAAGAATATGGGAGATTTACTACATGAGTCGTCTCTCATATATTTTACTTAGACATTTGCCTATATCTGGCTGCCGTGGAACAAGAGCATTATAATATCACATATCACTTGAATGAAGAAAAAGTTTTTACCATGATATCCTCCACAATCTTGAGAAATTGAAACCGTAAGTTATTCATGGATATTTCAAGTTTTTGGATCAATTTTATAAACATAAAAATATCAAAAAAATTTGTTGGAATTCATGAGGTGACAGGCAATGCTAACCGAGTATTTAATTTTCAATAGATATACAAGAAAATATATTAGTTCGGACTTATTACAAGTCATCAAAATAAAGCACTTATATATTTATGTAGAGAGGGCTTATATCTTTATGAGATGATAGTAAAAAATAAATTATGTTGGTATTTGAATACATGATAGATTAACATGCAACATCCGTGATCAAAATTGGAATGGTTAGAATTGTTAGCTTGTTAGTCGCATCTTAAAAAATGCATATAATGTTAAGGATGAACGTTTACAGGCATTTATCATCAAGACATTCGGAGAGAGTTCTAGAATTTGAGGTTATACCTACTTTTATTTTATCAACACACTAGAGTTTCCTCGGCATTCTTGATATGGCCAATAATTTAAAGCAAAGAAATATTTAGTAGAAAAAACAAGAATTGCTGGAATTGTTTTGGTTATAAAAGTGGCACAGAAATTGAAATTATCTGAGCAAAGACTTCTGGTTTCAATTTCTCAATAGATGGTATCACAAGAAAAATGGCATTTCTTCATTGAAATTTATTTTCTTGTCCAATGGTAGCCAAATACTAGGTACTAATATTGAGATAATAGTTGTGAAATGAATTGTTCTATAATCCACCCACATTCTTACAAAAATACTTGATAAGATCATAATATAATGGAGTTATATGATGAGTATTGTTATAATTGGTATTGATTGCGCCAAAGTGGATATAATCTTTAGTTTTGTTAATCCAAAAGGTCCCAATATATTGGAAAATAGCATAAGGTTTTGATATACAAAGAGAGTCTTCCTAAGAATTATATTTCTGTGCTGAATTTGTGTAACTATTTTCTTGTAAGGGATATGTTCTGCAATTTTATTCCTCACAAAGGATGCTCATACATTTTCTCTGGGGAGAAAACGAGCTAACAAATTAATAAATCAGGATAAGGGGAAGTGATATTTGTATTCATCAAATCTTATTAACCATTTTTTTTCTTCTAATAATATTATTATTATGTTATTTGTATTTTAATTTTTTATTTTATTATTATTCCTTTTATATATTGTTATAAACCATAAAATTATAATAAAAATTTTCGGGAAAAAAAACCATTATCGGCCAATAATGATGAAGTTTTTTAGGTAAAAGTCAAATTTTAAACTATTTTATGGATTTAAATTTGGCTATATAGATGTTAATGTGGGAAGGGTGGGTGAGACGTTGGGGAGGGTAAACAGTACCCTTGTGTTAGCAAGAGTTTGGCTGCCATTGGAAAAGGCTGTGCATTAGATTTAATGCAACTAAATTCTTAGCTCAAATTTGTTTGGTTAATTTTTTTCTTGTTCTGATAGGTTTTAGCTATGTTAATAATTTATTCATTATGTTCTAGTGTGTTTAGTTGTAATGTGGAAATATATTTGAGATCTAATCGATTGTTGTCATGTTTCAGATTTCCAAACACTTATCTTCTTGTGGGATGCTGTAATGACGAACTTACATATAGATACAAGGGCAAGACTGTTATGACTGAGTCTGAACGTTATGAATCGCTTCGACATTGCAGGTATTTCTTTAATTTGTTGAAGTCTGGGAAAGGTCCTCATCTAAACCTTAGTAGTATTGATTGTTTTTAGTCTCCCACTCCCATTCGTAGTCCAATTTGTACCAGAATCTGAAGTTAATAATACTTAAACGTGAATTTTAATATCATCCAACCTACACTGATCCTTTTTCTGTCCGAGTATCATTATATTTGTTCTTCATTATTATTAGAAATCTGCACAACTGAGGATGTTACAAATCTTTTTCTCTACCAAGGTGGGTTGATGAAGTTATTCCAGATGCTCCTTGGGTTATCACTAAGGAGTTCCTTGACAAGCACAAGATTGATTATGTAGCTCATGATTCTCTCCCGTAAGTTTTATCAACTGCAAAATTATCAATTTTCATCAATGTCTATTCTTGCGGTTTTTGCTCCCTACTGCACAATTTGGGACTCAAACCATTTTCTATTGCTTTATTTTGTTTACTCTTTTTTCTTGAGTGAGAGCATTCCTTCTGTTTTAGATATGCTGATGCAAGTGGAGCTGGAAAGGATGTTTATGAATTTGTGAGTTAATATGGGTGTATTTTTAACATGATATTAATTCCTTTTACTTGCATAATGTCATTGCTTGTTCTTTCATTTGTGTATATGTTAGCAGAACTTTTATCACAGTATTTTTTTGTTTAGCTTTAATCATTTCATTGGAAATTCAGGTCAAATCTGTTGGAAAATTTAAGGAGACAAAGCGTACAGATGGCATCTCGACATCTGACGTTATAATGAGGATGCTCAAAGATTACAACCAGTATGTGATGCGGAACTTGGCGCGTGGTTACACAAGGGAAGAGCTCGGTGTCAGCTATGTCAAGGCATGTTTATCCATTTTGTGCATACTTTTATAGTTTTATGCTGTGGTATTGGTTAGTTGTGGGACATTATCCTACTATTTTTTCATGATCGCTTGTTTCTATATGTTTGAGTTTTTAATGATTACTGGAACTTTACTATTGGTTGAAATTGTCTTTTGGTTCACAGGAAAAGAGGTTGAGAGTAAACATGGGTTTAGAAAAGTTGCTTGAAAAAATGAAGCAGCAGCAGGAAAAAGTAGGAGAGAAGGTAGTGATTGTTTATTCATATATAATTCCATCGAACTACTTTGTCAAGTTTACACATTTCTTATTTTGAAGCTACTCCTCAAAAGTAATTTTCTTTAAAGTGTTAATCTACTTTATTATATGATAAAATGTGGCTGTACTCTGATGCCACGTAGGGTTTGCTTCTTGTCTCAGTTATTTCGAAAGAAAGTTTCAGTTCAACTTCTTATTTTCTATATTGGTGCTGACTTTGTCATTTCCAGTTGTAATGTATATACACGAGCTGTTTCTACATCGTTAAACTTTTTGGCTGTAACCAAGGAACATGTATGACGTTTGTGAGCAATTTGTTAGTTGTTGAAACTGGTTTTCCAACCTATTACTTCATTTTATAGACAATTATGGTACTGGTTGAAGTGTTCATGAATGATTTGTATTGCAATTATGTACCCTTTATTGAGTAATAAAATGAAGATGTAGGAAATAAGAAAATCCCTTCAAAATTCAAACTATATTTCATATGCTCGAGTTATGCCCATTGAGGCTTACTCCTTATGAACTAGCTAACTATTCCACCCATGGGATTGCTATGTTATGGGCTTTCCGGAGGTTAATGTTCTATCCCTTTCAATAGCACCTTAACCTTAACATGCCATTTTTTGGTGCTTTGTCCAAATACATCTTCAATTCTATTTGTTAGCCGAGTCCCCAATAATGGTGGCTGAAGAAGTGGGACTAATCTCATGAGTTGTGGCTCTCCCTCTTAGATGAGTTGTTCATGCTTGCAAAATAATCGACTACATATTGTGATAACCAACCAAAGAAAATTTGTTTTCTTGGAAGATGGTTGACATTTGACTTTCAGGGTGCTACAATATAACCACTTCCCAAATTCATTCTCAATCCTAACTTTAGGCTTGGTTCTACATTTTTTTTCTTTTGGGCTTCTTTACGAAAAATCTAATGTACGACAATTGTGATTGGTATTGTAAACACATCCCAAATTTATCCCATGTGCGCTTCCCATGCATGACTTCATGCTCATATATATGCATTTTCGAAATAACTCCCCCATCGTTGTCAGAGTAACAAAATCTCTATTTCATATAGCAAACAAAATGGACCGCATCATTAAGATATGAAGCCTTAATTTCTACATCCATTCTTCTGCAATTTCAATCTTTATCATGTGTTATATTATGTATATGCAAGTGTGATTCTTTGATTTTAGTCACTCATAATCAACTAATAGGTTGTTTAGTTTGATGACATCCATACTTTCATGTAATGACATCCATACTTCTATGAAAACCAACGAGCTTCACGTAAGCTCACTTCTCTTTGAAAACTCAGGTCCCACCTATGAAGTATAAACAGCTTAAAAAGCCTACTTTGTCAATGGAAAACACATGTTGAATATGGACACACTTTTGACATGCCCAGACACTGTATTTGAACCGTTGAAAATCATATTTAATTTTTTTAACCCCCAAAATTAGAGGTTGGTATGACCTAGGCACGCCTATAGCCTAGATTCTTTTCAACATGTATAAAACAAATGATGTTTTTGGTTTAGAAAATTTCATTTCTAGGTTGGATGATTGAAGGTCAGATGTTTGAGCAATTGAGAGTGCTATTCAAGAGAATATTAGTGTTATAGATGATGATGTGAATGGGGCATGTGTGTGTTGGATCCAATTATTGATATATTATTATTCATATTTTGCGCAAGTATTTGATATTCTTCTTGCAGATAAGACTAAAGAGGGAGTTGATGTAAAACTAGTATTATGGAGGTCAACCTTAGAGTCTAAAAGTCTTTGTTTGAGTAGAGTAATAGATCTAGTTTTGGGATTGTGACATTGGGTAACCAAGTCATTAAAAAGAGTGCACATTTTAGTTAGTCTATTGCTCAAAGCGATGGTGAAATAAAGGGGGATCTTTTAAGTTGGATGGTTGAAGTGGAGGAATGCATCGATCCTATTGTGTGATAGAAAAGTGCCCCCTCAAACTTAAAGGAAATTTTTTTAGGATGATGGTGATACCTGCAATGCTTTTTGGTATAGAATATTGGTCATTAAAAGAGAAGCATAAATCTAAGTTAAATATTACAGAGATGAGGATGCTTTGGTGGATGAGTGGCTTTACACTTAGTGATAGAATGATAATGAGTATATACTTTTAGTGTAGTACATATTATGCAATACTTTATATATGCAATACTTTATTGTGATCTTTTTTATAGAAAATATTTTATTTATGTGTTTTGAGTAAACATTCTATATTATTATTTTGTTAAAAAACAATACATTATGTCAATGTAGTTGTGCCCGATTTTTTATGGCTATTGCATAGGATCGTGTCCATGTCATGTCATTTCTATTTCGGTCTCTGTGGTTCATAGGCTCCAATCACTCCCAAACAGTTATATTAAAACTAATCGGCCCTTCATGTAGGAGTTATTTTTGAAAATTCTGTTACTGTAGATTTAGGTAATTGTAGTAGAAGATTCAAAACTTTAAAGGGAAGCTTCATGAGTTTTTTTGTAATTGGAAGGTTCTTGATTGTATATGGTTTAATTTTTAAAGGTTTTTAGACTTTAAATTTAGTTAAACGAAAAAAAAGAAAAAAAAATTTCAAAGGTGCCAAACTTCTATATGTAACTGAATTCCTAGATATACATGTATTCTTTCTATATAAATTAGTGTTTAATTTCGAATTTAGCACAATAAATTGTTTTTTGTTTTATAAATTAAAGGCTATACTTTATGATGAGATACTTCATCAAGTGATCAACCATCATAGATTTCTAGTGGACTCCACCAGAAGCTCTTCACTAAATCTCCTGTCAATATGGAGGAAAGCCGAAGTTGTAGCGCCCTGTTCGAGGGAAGTCCTCTTTTCCCCCGAATAACGAACATAAGAATTTCTGGTGCTAATTGAATTTGTATCTTATAACCTCATGTTTGATTAGATCTACCTTTATTCTGCTTAATTATTTTTATTTATGATAAATATGGTTTAAACACTATCCTTTTGTGTGTGAGAAAAGGATCAAAATAGTTTCTTGACTCTTTATAAATGGCCAAAATGATCTCGACTCCTTATGAATGACCAAAATGATCTCCAACTATATTAAATGATCATTTTAATTCCTGAAGTTTTTAAAAAAGAATCAAAATAATCTCATTGTAGGATTATTTTAGGGGCTGTTTGATTGCCTGAAAAAGAAATGCAGTGTAAAGTAAATGCAATGTAAAATAAATGTAATGCATTCTAAATATTTTAAGCCTGTTTGGTTGTATGCAAAATAAACGCAGGAGAATTGTTTCTCTTGTTTGGTTAGGTATATGCAGAGTAAAGTAAAAGTATTTTTTTATAATAATTTATTTTAACATTAAAATAAGTATATTTATAAAAGCAATATATTTATAATAATAATTATTATTTTGTGTTATAAAATTTTTTTTATATAATTTAATTTATTTAAACCTAAATCGAATTAAGATAAAATTTACTTTACATTTCTAATGGGCATTGGAAAACTAAATGTACGAGAATTGGGAAGAAATCTAATTGGATCAAAAAAGACTTGCCAACATCTGATTCAGTTGATAAAACTCTGACCTTTCTGAGCGCCTCAAGCTTCGCCGCGAGCGGTGTTTCAGAAGACAGAAGACCGGTTTTCAAAATGGTTAATGAGATCGGGATGCCTGAACCTTGCTGTGAGTTGCGGTGGTCGGCGACGCTGCGGAGGAGCCACCGGTCGACGTATTGGCGGAGAGTGTGGTTGGGGACGGCGGAAAAGTCTGGGAGCCTCTGCATTGTGACAGGGCAGGTAGAGTTGCCTCCGGCGAGCCATTTCTCGATGCTTGGCCGGTCATATGTTTGGCCTGTAGTTAAAGTCACTGGATCCGTGAAGAGATCAAGACTAATCGGGCATCTGAAGAGGAATGGGATGCTCATTTTGTTCTCTTCATCCATGTTTGATGGTTGCTCATCAGATACACAGTGTGATGGGAGATGATTTGATGTCAGTGACTGTAGAAGACGTAATGAAAATGGCTAGGAGCTGATGAAACAGAAGAAGAGCTATTGAGCTTCAAGAGGACTAAACAGAAAGGCAAGGTGAGGAAATGAGGAAAAGCAGGATAGGCCTTTCAAAAGGAGTAGGAGTGATAAAGAGTCGAGAAGAAGGAGATTTACTATTGCAGAGAAAGTAATGGTGGGTAGTCGATCGTTTTTTAATTTCTGTTTGGATTGAAGGACTTGTGGAAGAGCGAAGAGACTAAAATCAGAAACCGGAAAGTTCGGATTTTTCCTGCGGCAAAGGAGTGGAGAACTTCATGCGTCTACTTCAAAGCTTTGTGGGAAGAGAATCGATAAGGGTAGGGATAGGCGAGCGGAGAAGATGATAGGGTTTGTCTTAATCTGTAAATTAATCTCTCTGTGAGCATCTTGAGATGAATAAAACTGCAGGGGAGAGCTAGGAGGAGACGGAGAGGGAGTTGATTTGCGAACTGCAGGAGCGAGCTAGACGGAGTGGAGCTTCTCGCCGGAGCGAACTCTCTCCGGAGCTGTTTGCCGGAGCGAAGTCGAACAAGAACGAAGGAGACGAAGAAGACTATTGTGCAATGAAGCCGAACAACACGACGACGAGATCGAAGCTTTTTTTCTTCCGATGAATTTATAACCCGCTCGTATTGAGCGGGTTTCTAATTCATGCAAAATAGCCCTAGTAATACACTCCTAATGCATCCGATGATTTTCTTTTGTTCCGCTCAAAATTATCCAAACAATCAAATTTAGTAAATACAGGTAATTGCTTTACTTTACACTCCTAATTCAGGCAACCAAACAGCCCCTTAGTTCATCTTTAAAGAGTTGAGAGATAAAAATGATCATTTAATATGGTTGGAGATTATTATGATACTTATAAAGAATCAAGAGATATTTTTTTATCCTCTCTTTTGCATGTGCACCTCTATAACAGCCTAGACATACGAATTAACTTTTGAAGCAATTTATATTTCTTTATCAGAATGGGTAATTTATTTCGTACAATACCGAAATAGCATGGCATTTGCACAACTACAATTCATAAAAGAGTGCCTGTTAATGCAAGAAGCGATATCATCTTGTTTAGTTCTCATCTGAACATGCTTGCCAAAATATCTCATATGGTACAAGCGGAGGCTTAATGGAATGTTAAGCTGTTTCTCTCTTGAATTTTACAAAGACTGGTACCTATAGGACGATTATTTGTTTTCCTAAAGATTGTTTTGGTCGGAATCGTTAGCTAAAAGATTTTACTTGAATTACACTTGGGTATAGAAAAATGACTAATGTGTTTCCTGTTATGTTGATAATCTTTCATATCAAGGAATATGAATGGGCAAAGAGAAAGTTTCGGTGTTTTATACATTGCTTTTCCGCATATGTGGAGTTAATGAGCTTGCTTTTGCAGCTGAGCACGGTGGCTAAAGTTGCTGGCGTACTGCATGATGAATGGGTGGAGAATGCAGATCGCTGGGTTGCTGGGTTCCTTGAAAAGTTTGAGGAAGGCTGCCATTCTATGGTGAGTTTCGTCAGTCTAGCCTTCTCCAACCGAACTCCAAACACATCAATGGCGTCGCTCGCGAGCTTCAGCCGAACAACAAAACTTCTGCTATTTGGTTGCGGGTGAACAGTGCGACGCCAATATTGGCATTCCACTGTTCACCTACGCTATTTTTTTTTCTCTACCGGATTAGCGTAAGAAACGTGCGAAAGAGGAGAAAGACGGTTACCGCGCAAAATGGAGTTCGATTGGAGAAGAATCATGGCATTTTTTAGTTTCACTTTATTTTGGAGTGAAAAATGGGATTTTCGGTTGGAGATGCCTCACTTAAAAATGAAATAAAATTTGTCAGATATCCTGATACAAAGTATACAAAGATGGTCTTAAAAATAGTTATATTTACTTTAAGATTAGTGCAACATAAAATTAGGAATATCTCGTCTTGCAGCCTCATTATCCTTGCTTGTTTTCTTTTCTACCAGGGAACAGCCATTAAAGAGAGAATCCAAGAGAAGCTAATGGCTCAGTCGAGAGACTTCACTCTCATGCAGTATGACTCAGAGTAGCTGAACTTGAAAATTGGCTGCAATCGTTAAGAGTTTTGGTGCACTGTAGTTTGTTAATCTGTAGTGATTTCCTATCCAGAGGAGGAAAGTTCAAAGCCCTAATGGAATTTTTTCTTTCTTCATGTAATAATGCTGATTGATCTGATTATTATTAAACATTTATGTATCTGCAATATGTTTGCCAGAATTTCCGTTTGGTTGAGTTGATATTTATGTTACAACTCTGCATGATTGCAGAATGGTGGAATATAGTGATATTGTCAAACATTTTATTACAGAAGATATGTTTTTTTTTTTACATTTTTATTGGTTGTCATAAGAAGGAAAATTGTATAGTTTGACTCATATTTATCTTACTATACAGATAGGGGCTATCATGTTGTTCTAAGAAAACTAAATTAGAAGTACCAATCCAGAGCTTAAGGTTCATCGGGTCGGAATGAATTGACTTAACCTAAGTTCAAATTTGAGTACCAATTCAGAGCTTAAGGTTCGTGGGTCGGCATGATTTGACTTAACCTAAGTTCAAATGACCTATGAAATCTAATTGGAGGTTTTAAATTATTTGTTAAATTAAATGGACTAGTTATTTTCAGAGCATCTTTGATAAATTTACAATCAGTGTTATAAATTATTAGGCTATGCAGATATGATAAAAGGCATAAACAAAAGAAAACCAACTTAATAAGTAGATGCAAAATTGTAGAGACAATATAACATTTAATAATTATGTTCTACTTGGAAGACTTTGGTTTCGTTTGGGATGACTTTTTTTCTGCTTTTTAAAGCAGTTTTTTAGTACAAAAATTTACTAGAAAGTTGTTTTAAGAAACAATAAGAAAGTTGTCCCAAACATAATTATAAAAGCTGTGAATTTTTTTTGGTCCAAACATTTTAGAGTTAAAAGCTGAAAACAAGACATATTGGCATTTAATAAGCTTATATCAAAGAAAGATGAAGGATTTTCTTGTAGCTTTCGAGCGGCAACGCCAATAGAGCATGAGGGTGGGTCGTTGAGATCAACTTCGACCTCCAGTGACAAATCTTGTTGCAAATATGCTAAATTTTTATTGACGAGCAACTCTCCTTGATTTGTCGGTTTGAAGTTTTAGCTACCAATTAAGAGGTCTTGAGTTCGAGTCATGCGAATGTAATATTTGAATGAATTTGCCTTAATTGAGTTAAATTTCCAAAAAAAAAAAAAATTTATGATTAAATAGCGGCAAGATAGCGAACCCCTTTCAATTTCACTTTCTTAGACCATGTAAACAAGCTAGTTACTATTTCACTTGCTTTATTTATTTATTTATTTTTAAGTAGTTGTTGCTTAGTCTTTGTAGATAGACTTTGTGGATGTTATCATTGATGACCAAATACTCAACTTTAGCTAGTTTCTTCAACACACAATCCATTGCATTTGGTAGAACAATTAAAAATTCCCCCAAATTTATAAAGAACAAAACTCCAATAATATATAACTAAAAGATATTTGAAAAGAAGAATGAGAGCATCCCAACTACTTGATTTCACCATTAATTGCCATAGAATATTTGATGGTAGCTCACCAAATCTTCAATTAGGGGAAAAAAGAGTTTTTTAAGCAAGTCGCTTGTCAACTAATCCTGTTGTTAACTAACTAATCTTCACATCCTTAATTAGGCTAATTGATACACATTATTTTGCACAAAAGATAAAATTATTAAATGCTAGATTTAATATGACACAACAATGAATAATATTAAAATATTAAAAAGAATTTTATGAACGTGTGATAATTAAAAAATAAATAAATTTCATGGTAGAAATTAAGGGTCAGCTAAGGGTGTAAGTGAGCCAATAATATTTTAAAACTTTAATATTAAAAAATATTAAAATTTTGCTCTTTTTTTTCGCTGCTTTTAATGCTAGAAATAAATTATGTTGAATTTTGACAAAATTTTCTTCATTTTATTATGAAAGACTGCACATTTCAAATCGGCCACAAAATACATTAAATTTATGTACGCATTTAAGCCATCAAATTCAAACTTTTGTCCAAACATTAATGGTCATATTTTAACTTAAAGCCATTTATTGGTTATATGAAGGACGAAAATTCATAATGTCTTTCAAATTTTAGTTATAATATTAATTCTTCAAGTTGTAAGTAAATATTATCAGTTTTACTCACAAAAATATTGAAAATTATGATTAAAAATAAAAGAACTAAGTTATTATCAAATTTAGCGTCTCAATGAGACAAATCCAACAAGGCTAAGATCACTTGATTCAAATGTCATTAAGGCACTTTAATATTATAAAATTGATATTTGACCAAAAAATTAAAATGAGCTATTTAATGGAGTGTTTTGAGAATTTTGACTAAAATTATTGAAATAGAACTAAAAATTTATAAATATATTGACATTTATTCTTCTCATGAAAGAGGGTTTGGATCTTAACATTGAAATTGAAGAGGGCTTGAGCGTCTGAAGAACTCTAAAGCTTCATCTGATGTTTGATGTTGACGATAACCACTAAATCGTACCAGTCACCCATAGTAGCTAGCTCGACCCTCAGTATCTTCATAGTTATCATCTAATTGTGGTCTCTGAATAACCATCACTATATTACATTCATATGATCGGTCTCCTAACTGCTATCAACTAACTCTAATTTTCTTATCATCATTGTCTAACTATCATCTCACATCATTGCTAACAACATTGGTGCTTGCCTCATCTATAATGCCAATGCATGTTGTTGACACAAATGCCAACATCCATCAATTTTATCTCTTATTATCATTAACAAAGTAAACACATACCACCAGTTATAAGAATGATGCATGCCATTAATATAAATGATGATGCCCACAAGCTTTGTTATTTGTCATCGTAAAAAATGTCTACAGCTATAATGTCCATGCCTACCATCAACTTAAATGATGATGCCCACACACTTCATCGCTCATCACCATTATTAGTGTCGGCACAGGTCAATGGCAAATAAGGTTTATTTATACCTAATTACTTCTTGATATCTAGTAAATTCTCTGATAAGTTGAACCCTAAACCCTAAATAACAAATGATCTTTTTGTAGACAACTTCAATGCTTCAAGGCTCGTCCAACTTTCACCATAGAATCAACCCTCCATAGTTCATATATACTATAAATTATCAACTATCTTCCCTAATTATAACGAAACAATAAGATTTGCAATCTATAATATACGCTAATGAAATTATTTCAATTGAATTAAACCTCATGATTTTTTTTCTTTTATGAGTTTTCATATAAAAATTATGGTATCTTTTCCGACCTTTTATTTGTGTGCCTAAATCTTTGTATATATAAAACTAAAACATTAAATTGGTTCGCTCTAATGTCGTGAATATTCTAGCACCAAACAATAAACATATAATTTACAACAATGATGATTTTATTAATAATTTAATAAATATGAAATACTTTATTTTCAGTCATTTTTATGTTCTAATTTTAATGAAAAACTTAAATATTTTATTTTACTCATAAAGTTTTTAATATATTTATGATATATACCTATATTTGATTAAAAAAAACCTTAATTTAGTTATATATATTTGTTCTATTAAAATGCTTTAAAGTCATACTATTTTGATGGTGCTAATTTAATAGAGATAGCATTTTCACATCTTAGATCAAAAAATTATATACATTATATTGATCCATACCTTCTCTGTATCACATTTCTTTTATATTAATTATTTTGCACAAAGAAAAATGTTTAAAAGTTCTTTAGCCCAATCTCAAATACTCAAATTATAACCCTAAACTCAATAAATTTAATAAAAATTGTCTCATCTGATCATTCAAAAGGTGCATATTCTCATACTCACTATTTTATGAAGGACTAAATGATATCCTTTAAACAATCATGGCAACAAATAGTTTGTGAGAAGCATTATTTATAAAATAATTTGCCACAAATGATAATGTGAGTGGTTAGAAAGATGAAAATGATTTAGTAGTACTGGATGGTTTAGGTTCAACAAAGGAACTAAATCTAGTGAACCTAATCAACAATGCACTATAAAAACTTCTTAAAAAGTGTAATTTTGATTTTAAAATCAAGTTGAAGGAGTCGTTTTGAACCCGTGTGCTATCTCGAATTAGGGGTGTTAATATTTGACACGATTTGAAAATTTCGGTTTAGCCCAACCCGATTTTAAAACGGGTCAGGTTCAGGTTCCCGGATTCAACCCGTTTAGAAAAAATGGGTCAGATTCGGGTTGACCCGGAAATCCAACATTGACCCGAAGTGACCTGTTTACAAAAAAAAAAACATCGGGACCAACACACCATCCCACTAACCCGCCACCATCCTAGGGACCAATGCACCCTTGAGACCAACGTGGCAACCCTCGCCGCCGCCCCCGAGACCAAACGCGTAGCCTCCGTAGATCCGCCCAAATGTCATCAGCCTCGGGACCAAACATCGTTGTCGTAGCCGTTGCCGCCCAAACGTCCTCGCCACCATAGTCGTTTCCCAAACGTCGTTGTCGCTGCCGCCCAAAAGTCTTTGTCGCCGCCCTCGGGACCAAACGTCGTCACCATTGTCGTCTCTGACCTGGGTTGGTGGGTCATGTCAAGTTAACCCGGGTCCGAGCAGGTTGTGTTCATATCCGAAAAAGTGACCCGTTTGCAAAAAAGGGTTCGGTTCAGGTCGGATCAACTTGTGTTAGGTCAATTTCGGGTTTGACCTGAATCCGACCCATGACCGGATTTTGATAGCCTTACAGGGAACTAAATAATAAACAAATCACGTAAAATTGTAAGAGTTAGACAATTTTTAATCATTAACACTAAGTCATTGAATTCATTAGAGAGATCTAAGAAGTTGCCTATTAATTGGGACTATATATTTGTTCAACTCAACCCGCGTATCAGGATTTCTCACCAGAAAAACTTGCTTATGATACCACCCCTCGATTTAGAACTGGCTTGTAAATACCATAACTAAAGCTAACTTCAAGCATAGCTCACATACTATCAAGTAATATTTTTATAACATTTTATGAGCAACTTTGTGTTCATTAATTTAGGGTCCATTTGCGACTGATGCGATTTTTTATAAAGATGGTTGGAAATTTATTAGGAAGAAAATAACTTTTTTGAAAGCTGATATAAAAGTAAATTCCTAGTAAAAAAAATTCTTAAAAGTAGTAAAAAATTAGTGGCCAAATAAAAACTGTAGTTGTAATTTAATAGTAAGAAAACTGTCTCAAACAAAGACTTAAGCTTCATTTAGAATAGTTTTCTTACTTCCTTCTATAACAGTTTTTTAGTATAAAAATTTCATAGAAGTTTTGAAAATGTTGATATAACATAAAAAAATTATCTTGATCGAGCACAAATCTCAAGATAATTTCAAATTGGAAACTTCTGAAATTAAATTTGGAGCCATCCAAACACTGATTTTAGCAAACTTATAGTCGAACTAAACGTCTCGAAAAGATGAACCCATTGACACCAAACTTAATCCATAGAGCCCTAATGGGTCCAAATCTAGAGTCCAAAACATATTTAGAAGGTTCAACACATAAATTAGATGATGAAATGATATCCACATGCGACATGTTTATAGTCGAACTGAGCGACTCAACAAGGGGAATCCAACGAGCTCAAGATCGTCTAATTCTGTCATCACTAAGGAACTTAAATACTAGATAAATAGTTCATGATCAAGGGAGTTGATATCTATCGTCTATTCGAAACACTGCAACGTGCCATTGATTTTCTTTTTATTTACTGGTCATGCCACTCCAAAAAAATATAAATAGACCCCTTATTCTTCACTTAAAAAGAGAGTAAGCAAGAGAGTCTGAAGAACTCTAAAGCTTCATCTGATGTTTGATGTTGACGATAACCACTAAATCGTACCAGTCACCCATAGTAGCTAGCTCGACCCTCAGTATCTTCATAGTTATCATCTAATTGTGGTCTCTGAATAACCATCACTATATTACATTCATATGATCGGTCTCCTAACTGCTATCAACTAACTCTAATTTTCTTATCATCATTGTCTAACTATCATCTCACATCATTGCTAACAACATTGGTGCTTGCCTCATCTATAATGCCAATGCATGTTGTTGACACAAATGCCAACATCCATCAATTTTATCTCTTATTATCATTAACAAAGTAAACACATACCACCAGTTATAAGAATGATGCATGCCATTAATATAAATGATGATGCCCACAAGCTTTGTTATTTGTCATCGTAAAAAATGTCTACAGCTATAATGTCCATGCCTACCATCAACTTAAATGATGATGCCCACACACTTCATCGCTCATCACCATTATTAGTGTCGGCACAGGTCAATGGCAAATAAGGTTTATTTATACCTAATTACTTCTTGATATCTAGTAAATTCTCTGATAAGTTGAACCCTAAACCCTAAATAACAAATGATCTTTTTGTAGACAACTTCAATGCTTCAAGGCTCGTCCAACTTTCACCATAGAATCAACCCTCCATAGTTCATATATACTATAAATTATCAACTATCTTCCCTAATTATAACGAAACAATAAGATTTGCAATCTATAATATACGCTAATGAAATTATTTCAATTGAATTAAACCTCATGATTTTTTTTCTTTTATGAGTTTTCATATAAAAATTATGGTATCTTTTCCGACCTTTTATTTGTGTGCCTAAATCTTTGTATATATAAAACTAAAACATTAAATTGGTTCGCTCTAATGTCGTGAATATTCTAGCACCAAACAATAAACATATAATTTACAACAATGATGATTTTATTAATAATTTAATAAATATGAAATACTTTATTTTCAGTCATTTTTATGTTCTAATTTTAATGAAAAACTTAAATATTTTATTTTACTCATAAAGTTTTTAATATATTTATGATATATACCTATATTTGATTAAAAAAAACCTTAATTTAGTTATATATATTTGTTCTATTAAAATGCTTTAAAGTCATACTATTTTGATGGTGCTAATTTAATAGAGATAGCATTTTCACATCTTAGATCAAAAAATTATATACATTATATTGATCCATACCTTCTCTGTATCACATTTCTTTTATATTAATTATTTTGCACAAAGAAAAATGTTTAAAAGTTCTTTAGCCCAATCTCAAATACTCAAATTATAACCCTAAACTCAATAAATTTAATAAAAATTGTCTCATCTGATCATTCAAAAGGTGCATATTCTCACACTTACTATTTTATGAAGGACTAAATGATATCCTTTAAGCAATCATAGCAACAAATAGTTTGTGAGAAGCATTATTTATAGAATAATTTGCCACAAATGATAATGTGAGTTGTTAGAAAGATGAAAATGATTTAGTAGTACTGGTTGGTTTAGGTTCAACAAAGGAACTAAATCTAGTGAACCTAATCAACAATGCACTATAAAAACTTCTTAAAAAGCATAATTTTGATTTTAAAATCAAGTTCAAGGAGTCGTTTTGAACCAGTGTACTATCTCAAATTAGGGGTGTCAATATTTGACACGACTCAAAAATCCGACTCGAAAATTTCGGGTTAGACCCAACCCGATTTTAAAACGGGTCGGGTTCAGGTTCCTGGATTCAACCCATTTGGAAAAATGTGTCACGTTTGAGTTGCCCAAAAATATGACATTGACCCGAAGTGACCTGTTTACAAAAAAAAAAAAAAAAAAAACATCGGGACTAACACACTAACCCGTCACCGCCCTAGGGACCAACGTACACTCGGGACCAACGCGACAGCCCTCGCCACCGCCCTTGGGACCAAACGCGGTAGCCTCTGCAGCTCCGCCCAAACGTCATCAGCATCAGGACCAAATGTCGTTGCCGTAGTCGTTGCCCCCCAAACTCGTTGTTTCGATCAAGTTGCATATCTTATTACCCATCGGGGTGCGTTGGCGAGAGCCGCAATCCTCAATGTTTTAATCGTATGTGCAATCTAATCTGTCATTCCATTGGCCCGCTTGCGAAAAGCATAGAGGCATATGATTTTCTCATCCCTCAGAATGGTGCGGTCGTATACCTTTTGCGTTATGTCCCCAGCATAGCGGATCTCTTTCGGAGGTCCAAATCCACTCCAAGAAAATTATGAATAGACCGCTCATTCTTCAATAAAAGAAAGAGCAAGTAAGAGAATGAAGAGAAGGAAAAAAAAGAAAATTTTGGGAGCTCTCTTGCCACTAGACTTCTCCTCCTCGACCGTCGCCCGGCCACCAATCATCATCAGACTTCTGCCCAACCACCAACCTTCACTTAACTTTCACCCAGCCACCCACCATCATCGGACTTTTGCCTGATCACCAGCTATTGTCGGACTTCCGCCCGGCCACAGACCATCTTCAGACTTCTGCCCGATACCAGTTGGACTTCCGCTCTACCGCCGTCAAACTTCTGCCCAACTGTCATCTTTCACACGAAGTTCAACCCACTTCCAGGACTATTATAATATGAACGTATTATATTCAAGTAATAGTATAATCATTTCAACTAGGCGTGGCCCCATAATTTTTTTCTTTTTCCAAGATTTTCCACGTAAAAATTTTGATGTTTTTAAATTCCGTTTGTGTGCTGGTATTCATACAACACTAAGACAAAAGACTTTATTACTTTACTACTGTAAATATTCTAATATGCAACAAAAGTCATGACCAAAAGCTATCTCAAACGAAGTCATAGTCTTGCTAATTAAAAATCTTACTTTTAATTGAAATTATTATAGTAAATTCACAATCAACATGATCACGTGTGTTTTGATAAAAACAAGAACGGTTTAGTTGGTAGATTGCCCTCATTTTGGTTCACCAAATCAAATTAGTTAATTAGCTCTACCAAAGATTAGTAAATCTAGCAATGCTCAACTAGCAATAAATTTAATATTTTAATTAACGAACTAAGTTATATTAGCACACGTGCTTAATTCACTTATTTTATATTTAATTAAAATTTTAATCATCCAATAATTAAGATGTACTTACGTGCTCCCAAAAATGATATAAACAAATATCTATTATTATACGGCTCGCAGATAGAGAAACAGAGAATTTTCATAAATAAAATTTAGAATATGTATGCTGATGTAAGTACTCAAGCCCTATAAATAAATAAAAGAAGAAGCTTTAAAAATAAGTCGAAGACCCACCGCTGCTTGTCTAAGTGGTGAAGAGCCGGCTGGGCAAAGTCCAGGTCCTTGGTTCAAATCCTTTGGCAAGCAGTGAAAGCCTTAAGTGTTGACCCCATATAAATTGATGTGGGTTGCATGCTAGGTCGACCGGAGTTTTCACTGGCTTAAGGACATTGCTTCCTCATCACAAAAAAATATAAATAAATAAATAAGTCAAAGACAAACTTTAGAAAAAGGACATATTGATAATAAGATTATCATGTATGACTTTTGACCTTTTTTACAATTGGGCATCTTTAACTAAATCGAAAATCCAACATTATTTGTCTGGCGAGCCTTCACCTGAACATCAAACAGAAACGTATTTTGTATTTTTCTCTGTGCTGTGAGTAATGTGACATCAATGTTGACATCGCACTGTCCAAAACGTGAAAATGTGAGAAATTATTCTTTGCGGCGTCCGAACGCATCCGGATGCAAATTCGGACGCGCCACGTCACTAGATGCACTAGGCCCCCGATGACGTGGCGCATCCGAATTTGCATTCGGCTGCCGCACAATAATTTTTATGAAAATGAAGTTCGATTTATCGTTCGATTGGATGCTCGGGACTATTACAAACCAGAAAAATACCATTCGATTGAAGTTAGCCTTAGCTTTCTCTCTTTCAATCTTCCTATCATATGATTTCAGTAATTAACAGGTATATCAGCCTATTTTTTAATAATTCTAAGAAATAAATGAAAAAAAAATAAAAAATCAAGCCATGCTCCCCTGGCACTGCTCCACCTCCACGTGGACTGTCGCCTGCACTGCCACGTCCGACTCAATCACAACTCGATTCGCTGACACATTTCTCAAAGCATGATTAGGAAACCCTGAGCTGGTTATCATCGCATATTGCACATGATCAATCCGATTCGGGAATAATAAAACTGGCGAGAAATCAATGGTCCAGATCGTTCCATTCGCTCTTAGTGAGGCCCTCGCAGCCGTTGATCTCACTGCCATCCCATTTACACTGTTCCTCTTCACCACCACCTGATCAATGGACGTAAATGCCCCGCCGGTCTCATCCAGCCGCACGATATCGACTCCGCCGCCGCCGGCAAACATGTTATCCACAATATCAACGGCCTTGATCACTCCGTTCACCGATTTGAGCACGACGTTTGCATCACCCAAGAAAAATGAACCGGACACGTAGAGCTGAACCGGATCTTCGGCGACGATGCCGGTGTAGTCTAGGTAACAGTTCACGATCCGGGTTTGGGTCAAACCGGGCAATTTCAAATAGATGCCGGTCCCGCCAAAACCTGTAGCTTTATTGTAACAATGGACGCCTGTTATAATATTAGCCTGGCCGGCGATCTGGATGCCGACGGCGGCGGAGAAGATGACTATGTCGGTGATGGAGTTATCATTCCCATCGATTCTGATGGCGGTGCCGGAGAAGGAGCGTTCGCCGGGGTCGGCCCCGGCAGTGATGTGTTGGCCGAGGAAGGATGCGGAGATGAGGGTTTCGTGGCCGTCTTGGACCCAGATGCCGTCGGAGGCGAAGTGGACGATGTAGCAGGATTGGATGAGGGTGCGTAGGGAGTTGACAATGGCGATGCCGCCGGCGCGGTAGTTGGCGTCGAGCATGAGGGAGGAGAGTGTGATGTATTCGTAGTTGTAAGAAGAGGTGGATTGGGAGGGCCAGAGCTCGATCAGATATCGATTTGTTGGGAAGTTGTTGGATGCTCGGAGGGAGCCGCTGTGGATCTGAGGATGAAAAAACCATTAATAACAGAAGGAAAATTAATAGAGAATTAATGGTGTTGAAGTTCAAAGAATGAGACTTTGGAACCTTGAGATTGCCGGCGGGTGAGGAAGGAAGAGCGATGGGGCTGCTAATCAAATAAGACCCGCCGTCCAGATTGAGCTCGGCGCCGCCGAGGTCGGTAATTCCGGTGATGAGTGAGCGATTGGACGGCGGGCGGAATGCATCCGAAAGTGCCCGTAAAATTGCAGCAGTTGAATCGATTTTACCCGTCGGATCAGCGCCGTAGTCGGTCACGTGGTACACACGCGAGGAAGCAGATGAGGAGCTCTGAGAAAACAGAGGAATTTTAAACACAGAAAATAAACAAACAAACAGTTTCCAAACAGAAACTTAAGGCAATCTCGAACCACAAAAACTCAATTTTGACTCCAAAATATAGTACTCTTTAAAATACAATAATTTTAATTTCTAACATTAAAAAATATAATATTTTGTATATATTATTTCTCATAATTTATTTTATTTTATAACCTATTTTTTTATTTTTTAAAAAATAGCGTGTGAACAATGGGAGCGTGTGAACAATGGCATTGTTCACCTTCACATGAATTGGCATTTTTTTTTGCGATCGGCTGGAGAAAACGACGGACGCCAAATGAGTGTTAGACATTCGGCTGGAGATGATCTAAGTCGAATTCCGAGTTCGGGACTCCCGAAATAGAATTCGAAATTTCACCTGCCCGATAGAGAGTGGAACGTGTAAAAAGAATTATATTATTTACTCATTAGTATATACAAAATTTATCATTTTATGTTTACGCAATTTTTTGATTTTGAGGCTTATGCCTCAAAACGGTAAGCCTCGCCTCAGGAATGAAAAGCACCTCAATACCCAATTACGCAATTTTAAACATTGATAACAACAACAACAACATCAAACCTTTATCTCATTATAGGGTTGGTTATATGAATCATTTTTTTTATTGTGTTAGTCAAATTCTCATTTAAATCATATAAAAAATTTTATTTATAATAATTTCTATTTAAAATTTTTAAGTATATATATTCTTTTCTTAACATAGATCGCATCTAATATGTAAATATTAATCTTAGTATAAATTTAAATATTTTTAAAATAATTATATCCTAAATTATTAAATAATGTACTCTTTTTTTTTTCACCACCTCCACCCTTCAAATTTGTGTCGACAAAAATACATAAATATTATCCAAAAAGCTATTTTAATGGACAAGGAAATTAATATAATAACAGAACATTACAGATCAACGGTCAACAAACGAAATTAATAATGAAAGAAAGGGGTACCAAGGGGAGTGGGGAAGGGGCGGCGTCGGCGGAGACGGAGGCCAAGAGGCGCTCTGAGCGGAAGCGAACGCGCTCATAGCGGCGGAGAACCTCCGTTCCGTCGGAGGAGGTGGCGCCGATGATGGAAAAGAAAGCAAGGAGGAGGCGGAGGAGGTTTTGCTGGCGATCAAGGAAAGTTCTACTTCTCTCTGCCATTCCTGCCTCTCTCTCTCTCTCTCTCTCTCTCTCTCTTTTCTCCTCTTTTATAGTGGCTTGAGAGGCATGGGAAGAATAAGAAGGCCAGGTGGCGAGGTGAAGTAGCTTTGAGCAGAGAAGGGACAGAAGAAATTAATGGGGGAGGGTGGAAGGGGGAAAGGGGAGGGGGTTATTAATGCTGCGGGATTAATAAAAAGATAATCTTGATCTTAATCAACCATAATTACTTCTTATGATGCGATTAGGTGGAATCTGTTAAGCGTAGTGGAAAGAAAGAGGGAGGAGTCAAATTTTTTTATTTTTCTTCTAAGAATGACAGAGCTCGGTGATTTTGTTGGAAAATTCTTTCAGTCCGGCGCCCGTTACGGCTGCGTGCGTATGCGGCTATGTGCAGTGAATGTATGTACAGGTCTGTGATTTTGGACGAAGAATAATAAATTTATTCAAAAGTAAAATGATTTTGCAAGATTAAATTGGTTAACTTTCAGCGTCCGAATTAAACGGGATGACTTGAACGATTTAGATTGCAGAGGATTCAAGTACTTTAACATGTATATATCTTATGAGCACATTTGGTTACATGTAGCAAATATGTATTATATAGAGCACATTACACAGTGGCAATTGAAAGAATTTAGTAATATGAGAGTTGTTCACAATAGAGTATTAGCATATTCATTCGGTCGTTAGGATCTTTGTCGGATGACATTGGTCCGAGGGACTGTAGTAGGTGGCCTTTTGGACGAAGAATAATAAATTTATTCAAAAGTAAAATGATTTTGCAAGATTAAATTGGTTAACTTTCAGCGTCCGAATTAAACGGGATGACTGAACGATTTAGATTGCAGACTGCAGAGGATTCAAGTACTTGAACATATATATATATTTTATGAGCATATTTGTTTATTGTTGAATATGTAATTTATAATCTTAATAAAATATTTATTTACTAATAATTTATTTATTTATTTGATGTCTTATTCTTTATCATTATTATGAGAATTGTTACACGAAAAACTCTAATAAAAGGGGAAAAAGACGGGTTCTTGCTTAGTTGAAAAGATCAACTAGTATTTCTAGTTAATTAAATATGAGAATCTTTCTCGGAGGAAGTCATTGGTTACATGTAGCAAATATATATCATATAGAGCACATTACATAGTGGTAGTTGAAAGAATTTAGTAATATAAGAGTTGTTCTCAATAGAGTATTAACATGTTCATTCGGTCGTTAGGATCTTAGTCGGGTGACATTGGTCCGAGGGACTGTAGTAGGTGGTCAACGATGGTCTAAGGGATTGTAGTAGGCATGCGATGGAGGTCGGAGGGACCATACTCGGCGGACGACGAAGGTTGGAAGGACCTTAGTCATCTGGCAACGATGGTTGAAAGGGTTGTAGTCAATGGGCGATAGTGGTCAAAGGACCATAGTCGATGGGCGATGGAGGTCGGAAGGACTGTAGTTGGTGGGCAATGGCGGTAGGAGGGATCATAATTAACATGTGACTTAGGTCAGAGGGACCATAGTCCACGTGTGACAGTGGTCGAAATCTGGCAACAACAAGCAACATGGCAGAGGCTCGATAGTGGTCAGAGGTCGACGATCAGGCGAAGGTTCGGCAACATTCAACGGCTGAGTGGTATTCTGGCAGTGGTCAATGAAAGTTTGACAACAATGGTTCTTGGTTAGAACTCTAGGTTCCTTAAAGCCTCTAAGCTCCTTTCCACCTCCAGTCAAAGATTCAAGCTTAATTGCAAAGGTCAACGCTCCCCTTTTATGTAAGAAGTGCGGATCTATTTATAGATTTTTTAGAGTGGCATGCCCCATAAATATGGAGAAGATCTATGACAAATTCGGAATGCTTCATCAGGCGACCCATATTGATCTACTCAATTATAGAACATTTTTAACATTTATGTACCCAAATGATATCAGAATTAAGTGTTCTTGGGCTCATTGGATTCTTCTCATTGAGTCGCTCAATTCGAATATAAGTATGATGTATTTGGATATCATCCAATCATCGAATTTTATGATTTAAACTTTCCAAATGTGCTTCGGTCCCTTAATTTGGATCCATTTAGGCTCGGATTGAACTTATTTTAGTGTCGTTGGGTTCGTCTCTTTGAGACATTCAGTTTGACTATAAGTTCACAAAAATCATAGTTTTAATTATCCCAAAAATAATTGAAAGTTTTTAACTTGAATATGCCTTGATATTTGTGCTAAATGAAGGCAATTTTTTTTTTTTTTGACCAATCATATATATGTGTGTCTGTGTTGTGGAACCTCAAGAAGACTAAGACATTAAAATTCAATCTCTATTATCATAAAGTTTCTAATATGCGGCAATTTTTAAATTTAATAATATTTACTAATTAATTATATGTTTAAATCATTGACATCAAATATATAATTAATCAAATTAGTTAGCTGATCAAACTCAATAAAAACCCATATATATTCCTAAATAAAATTTTAAAATTCAAATCGTAATCAAACACAATAATAGAATAAATAAATCAGCTTAAATAAGACAACACTCTACTTAAAGTTAGTTTTAAAGCTCTTATAGAAAAAGTAACTTTTTTGAAAGCTACCATAAAAAAATAACTTTCTAACATAAATTTTTTTTTTTAAACAATTAAAAAAAAATCCTCAAACAAGCCCTTATTTCCAGCTCTAAATTCGCATCAACAAGTAATCTAGTTAGAGAATCCAATTAGCATTAGATAATGGATAAGATAACCATTAAAAATTTTAGAAATAGTCAACTTTGCATATTTTTATCTTTGATTTGTTACATCATAATTTTAACCTTTTGTGATACTTTTACTTATTTATGGAAATTTTGGGCTAAAGGCTTTAGCATTTTAAGCATTTCTTTGCGTGTCATGACTCATGAGCTCATTTTTCTTAGGATGACCGTTTTTAAAAATATTATTTGAATGTTTTTAATGAAGAATTTGTGGAGGTGGCTTATAGGGAACGTGTAAAACATGAGGGATATATTGGAAGAAATAAATGAGGAATTTTTAGGAGAGAATATATTGATACATTGTTTTAAATGTCTCTTCTTTTAGAATTTTTATTTGGTCCAGTCACCTAACGTACATCTACGTTCGGACGCCAGAAAAATAGTGTCACGTGTTCTTACTCTTTACCGCGCAGCCCGACCTGGAATGAACCCAGGATTTCTATGTTCGCGTATTGCTTGGTATTGTTAGGTATTGGTCAATTTTGCTCGGCAATAACGAGAAATACCTTCTGTGAAGACCAATACCTAGCAATACCGAGTTTTGCCAAGCAATACCAAGCAATACCTAGCAATACGTGAACATAACAATTTTGGGTTCCGATCAGGGTCGGTTCGTCGGGCCGCGCGTTAAAAAATAAGAAGACGTGGCGAAATATTATTGGCGTATGAACGTAGAGCTATGTCAGGTCACTTGACCTAATAATTATTCCTTCTTTTATTACTGTAGATCTTGGACTCGTATGAAGGCGTTATTTGGTTTGTCGAAAAAATAAATGTATCGTTTTCATGGAGACCGCCCGTGGCAAATATTTATGTTTTCTATGCTCTTAGGGTCATGTTATTTGCATTCTGAAATTTTGATCTTATAGCTCCCCTTATCTCTAGTAATGAGACGACAAGCAGAATAATTTTAATGTATTCTAACATTCTAAATTGCACGGCAAAAAGAAATATTTTAATTTAGGCCCCCAAGAATAAATTTTTTGTCTCAGGCACTAGGGATGAGTTATGGCGTATTTAGAATTCAACCAAAATTAAGGCTTAATTATATATTTTTGGACATTTATGTAATATTCAATTTGATTAGGGCTATTCATTAAAAAGATAAATTTTGAGTATTTTTACATGTGAGTCTATGATTGTTACAGGCCCTTATCTTCTTATGAAATATAAATTGACTAAGATAAACAGATATTGGATGCTATGTGTGAGATTAGTTAATAAAAATTAAAAGTGATAATGAGATATTAAAATTTCTTTGCATGTGAGCATTAAGCCTTTTTCTGCTGCATTGCTTATAAAATATTGCAAATTTCCACCAGTCAAAAATGAATTTTGCAGCCACCTTTCCTTTTCAAATAAAAAATAAAAGTTATATTAAGGTTTTGAAATGACTTAAAAGGCTTCGTTAGGGACATCTTTCTTACTCTTTTATGCAGCATTTTTCAGTGGAAAAACTTATAGTTCAAAAAGAAAATCAGTACTAAAAAAATTGCTTCATAAAATAGTAATAAAATCATTCTAAATATAGCCTAAATTATTAATATTCGTCATAATTTTATTTAAGGCTACATTTTTTTTTTCTAAATGAGATAACGAATAAAAATTGCCTCTTGAATCTTTATGAATGATGAAAATAATTCCTGATAATTTAAGAGTTTTATTTTAGTCCCCGGACTTTTTAAATAGGGATCTAAATGATTTCATAGAAGGATTAATTTGGTTCTTATTTAAAGATTCAAAGGACAAAATTGATACTTTTATATAGTAGGAGAATATTTTGATTCGTCAAAAAAAGTTAAGAGACCAATTTGATCATTTTCTCGTTTCTCAATTAAGGAATTCAATACGAAAAATATTGACAAAAATGTTAGGATTCATTCATCAAATTTGCCATTCTAGTGGTCTAATTTTAATAAGACCCTATACGAGACAAACCCTAAATTCACAATTAGTTGGAGGACTTTCTCTATGAGACAAACCCTAATACATATGAGTATTATTGATTTCTAAGACCATCTCCAACCGTTCGGCAAACAGCCGAATGGAGGCCCTCAAACCTCGCAATCGAACGCCATTTTTTCCACCATTTGATCTCAGTTGAACAGTGCAACGCCAATATTGGCGTCGCATTGTTCACTTGCGCCATTTCTTTCTCTCTACCGAATTCGTCTGAGAAAGGCGCGAAAGAAACGAGTGAAGATTTGGGGGCAAAATGGCGTTCCACTGGAGATGAATCACG